CCAAACCTAACGTGGTAGTTTCCCATCATAGGGCTTTCTATCTATAGATTAAGCCATTACCAAGGAGCTAATTCGTTCGAACTCGGTTGATCGCTTCTATAGATAAGGCGGAGTGCCCTTGGCTTAGCATTATAGCAGCACATAGAGCTTGGCGCTACTACGGCGCTTCGATAACTCAAGCGCCTCGTTATGAGAATCTAGCTTCGCTAACGCTCGGCTAAGTCTTGAACCTTCGCGCGACCATTCGCTTTCTTAGTAGCAAAAGCGCTTCTCTTTGCCTCTTAAGTATAAGGCCATAAAAGATAATATTCCTTTTCTTGCTTCCGCTTCCTCCTTATCTGCGCGCATCAAGCCATTTTTCGCCCAAGCTTACTAAATAGTAATAGGGGTAATTTATTCGCTTTGACCGTGATAGCCCTCTCCCTTATTGGAGCTTTGTAACTAATGGACGGTTTCCGTCGCTAGAGCGTTTTCCCAGTGCGCGGGACCCGAACGAGGAAGGTGTTAGTGGTTTATCATTGGGTCAATAAGACTAATCCCTATTTTTTGTTGCGCTATTCCTACTCCTAGGGCGGGAAGCGAGATAAGAAAACGCGAAGCGTTCTCTTGGTTTCCCAACTGTTCTTTCTAAAGACTGTCCTCTCTCGGCTGGATGTTGGTCCGGCCTACTACGAGGATCCCGTATCAGCAACCCAACCTATACAAAGGGCATCAAGCCCCTTTACTAGGTTGGAGCTATGAAGCTTACTTTATTATTAAAAGGGAAAAGGCTTTTCATTTTCAGCTGGTGCGCACTTCCGTTTTCCCTTTACTATTAGGGGTCCCGTGGTTCCTATGCCGCCGTGTTTCTGGTCCTTTTCTTTTAGTGCTTCGACCCAAAGCGATAGCTTCTAGCTAGTTCGGTGGATAAGAGGGCTGCGCTCCACTCACTCAAGAATGGGACGGCGGTGGTCCGCCGGCAAGCTCGTTCGATCTTGGACGCAGAGATTGGAATCTGAAGCACCGCCACGAACGCTACCGCCCGTCCGCTGCGGTGCGGTAAGACACCATCCTGCTTGTGCGCAGCCAACTCCGGCGTGTCGGCTTAGTTATCCTCATCAAGCCACTTACTTGATGTCTAGCTTCCTAACGGTAGACGCCTCCCTTTCCCCAGATGAATGAAGAAGGAAGTGGATTCCTCCGAAGAGCCTAAGCGAAAAGCGCTATGCCGGGCGGGGACGGGAAAAGAAAGGGCTCCAAGAAAGAAATTGGGGTTCCCAACGCTTCTCCACGCTCAACGAAATGCGCCAACCTCGGAATGCTTTACTCCTAACCCCCACAAGGTTCCGAGACGGAGCTTAACCTGAGTCTCGGTTAAGAACGGCGATGATCTACGTTTCACACGGCGCACGATATAGCTGATCACAACTTACAATCATTAGAAGTTCAACAGAGAAAAAGAAATGTTTCTTTGCCCTTTTTTCCAATGATTGGGACCGTACAACTCTCCCCCGAAGGACTAAACTAGGTGCTAACTCAAGGCCTGAGTGGCAACAAGCTGTTTGGATCGCCTCGATTTGATTTTCGGTTATTGCTTCTCGACAAGCATTCTTAGCATCATTGATCCTTCAGTCCTGGATCCTAGATCAGGTACTTGGAATATCTGTTATAATGATCCTATTCGAGTCAGATCAAACTCTAGAAAATAGATGGAGGCAGAGTCTTGACTAAAAGCTAAAGTTTCATTAATCTTCTTCTCTCCCGTTAAATTACAATACAAAGATATAAATAGACTTCAACAACATAAAGATAGGAAGTTATCTCCCACTAACACATGACTCTAATAATAACTACTTCTACAAAGTTATCTCCTAAACCTCACTCTAACTAACAACTGTAGGAAATAATTATCTACCCTATTGGATATATTAATAATTAATTAAATAATAAAAGTAGCAGAAAATAAATAAAACTGATGAGTCCAAATTGATATAGCCCGTGACTAGGCCGGCCCAAGCTCAGGAACCGGTTCAATCGGCCTCTGGAAGCTTCTAGAGCTGTTGCTAATTGGAGACGTCGGTACAAATCCCTGCTTCGTCAAGTGACACGCCAGTGGAATCCGATTAGGGTTCTTCACCCTTCAAAAAATCTTCTTAGGGGAGATGAGGCCGAATGTCTCCGTCCAATGTGGACGATAGCAGGCGAAGGATTCCCTTCTCAGATTTTTGTTAAATTCGACAAGAGTTTCACCGAATCACATTCAGGTTATGTTCTCAATTTATACCTGTTTTGGCTTAAAACGTTTGCATGTTGCGAGCCTGTTCGAAATTGTCTTTGAACTTAATTAGTTGGTCATTGGTTTTTGTGGGGGACAACGCACCGATTATAAACCAACTCATTATTACTAAACATAAGAAAGAGTCACAGTTAAGTTCAATTAACATGCTTGCTTAAACTTTAATTAACCATCAATAATCAGATTGCTTTGTCCTTTGATCAATTTATGCCCTCATCTGTTTTGCTCGAGAATAGTGTTTTCCTTGACGGAGATTGTCTTTTCTTTCGTATCGAGGATAATTTAAGGACACACCCAACACGTATATGAGGACCTTTAATTTATATGGTAGATTTTTATCGTTGAGGTGTACCAGTCATGAAAATATCTTACACTAAATATAGTGCTTTTCCACTCTATTACATATGATCTCGTTGCATGCAATAATCACTCCTTGCTTGAGGCTCAATTTAATTTTTATGAGATACTTCGATAATTATTGCCATGCTTAGGTGATCTCCAAAACATAGAACAATCTTTACATTGTGAAACTACTAGGCCCACTCGATATCCCTATAAGGATTTATTGAGCTCCCAAAACAGAATTCGTCGATCTATTTGTCTTCTATTCTACATTGGTATGACATCTTTTCAGGAACAAATAGACCGATCATATTACATCAGGCTGGACACGGCCAGTACACATACCAATTCGACGATTCAGCCCACTAAGCTTTACGGGCTTCTGCGTTGAGGCGCTTCGTCATGTTTTTTCTCGAGGAGATGCACGTCGAGAAATTCAACATCGTAGTACTCGAATTCGTTGGCAACTCAACGCGATAAAATTTATTCAGGGCCACCAAATCACGTTCCAGCCGGTGAATACTCGAACATGCCGATCAAATCCTGGTGCCCGAACATTAACATGTCCAAACATCCAGAATCTTTGGAGTTTGTGCCATGGATCGTGGATATCTGAGGATTTTATTTACATATTGCATCTATTGTTCTGGGTTTTCTGATTTTGTACTTGAACATAATCACCTTATTCTCACCCACCAAGATCGAGAAGCAAGTCAGCCAGCGAGGACACGAAGTCTCCAGTTACGACGGAAATCCAAGCAGCCGCAACCGCTCGACAAGGATTCTAAATTTTCTGAAAAATTATAAAACGGTCCTTAGTGATTTTATTATTTATACTCTGACGCTAAACCTTCTGAATGCGCAGAATTACCCCTGGATTGTCCAAGGACATACTTGGATAAAATTCTCTTTAACTAAGCAGAATTTATGATTCGGTCCCTTCAAATATTATTTATCATTCTTTCCTTTAATAGTTTCTTTGTTTTTCATATAAGTCCTAACTTTACAGTAAGGGGCGATCTTATATCTCAAAGGTCACATCTCCTCGAAGAGGCGCATAACGTCCTCGAGACTTGAGTACAAGGCCACTGGTTTGTTTCCGACAGCACAAGCTAAAACATCCCTTTCTACATAATTGCACGAGGCAGATACTTTAATGGCAGATAAGTTATCGTAGCCATCTATTACAGATAACTCCTTGCCATACACCATCGCCTTCCGAACTTATTCACTTTGAGGGTAACAAATTTATGTCTCAAGCAACATTATGCATGTACACATGCTATACCTCTCTGATCCTATGGTTGCTATCTTCATTCATGGTGCTTCTATATCCACTACTCTATGGTTGTTCTCGAGGTTTGGGTCTATTACTTCTCGATCAGAAGCATATGTCACAGTTCCCCAGTAAACTCCTCATTTTGATAGTTGATATATCCTAGCTACTGCTAATGGCACACATTTTTTAGACTAGTGGGAATCGAACTACGTTTCTTTCTCAATTCTCTTAACGAGGTGGTCATCTGTTCTGATATTTCCCTGGAGCATAACATGGAAGTCATCGTGCAAAGCCTTCTCCACTAACGTCTGGGTCAATGACGTGAATTGCAGTTTTCAACCAGTAAAATACTTGCTAAAATACCTAGTAAAAAAAATTCGCGAATTAGAAGATGACATGTGGACCACATAAAATTTTCTACGAATGAGAGGATGACACGTGTAATTTGAAATTATCAATGACCTAATTTAGTGACATGTGTCTTGTGAAAAAAATTCCAATATATTGTAAGATTTTGATTTGAACAATAAAACTTAAAAAAAAAAAAAAAAGGAAAGGGCCATATGAAAAATCAAAAAATGATGATGCATAAGACAAAAAAAATTTTACCCTCATTTTCTGATTGGTTACACCGATCAAGTGAACTGAAATGTTTTCAAGTCTACTAACTTTTTGTGCCTCAAACGCCTGTTTTTGAAACCTGCGATTTCCTTGTGGTGTTGGAGAGGATTCAGTGTTCTTCAGGTGATTGACTTCAGGAGACTGTTGGCTCCAAAAAAGTTCAAACCTTTTTACATTTGCTAGTTGTGCATCTTTTCAGCTTTGTGTTTGTTTTGAACACAGCTTGTCATATACAGTGATCAGTTTATGAGTCAAGTCTGAGCAATGCTGCCTTGAATTAGAAAATGTTAAAACTGTGGTGTGGCCTTACGCATAAGGAAACATTTCACATAGGAAAATCCAACTAAAACTTCCTTTTACTACAAGATCATCAGGTGCATAAATTTTCAACATGGATGAATTACTCTGCATCTTACCAATTAGTACCATACAGATATACTAACAAAACTTTCTTTGAAAACCGAATTCTTCACAGATGGAAGAGGCCGTTTAGGTAAGCTAACAAGTTGAAGGACTTATTAAAATGAACTTATGGTTAGAAAAGTAAACATGGCAAACCGGCCGAAATTTTTCTTACTGTGTTCTGAAACGCGCAAACATGTGGACTTCCAAAGTCAATGGTTTCACATTACTGTGTTCTGAAATTTTTCTTGATCACATACTAGTATTTCCCATCTCCCATCCGGCCACCATCAATCACTTGCTTTTGTTCATCCACTAGGCTTAATTGCCGACCACAGTCCAAGTAAGATTCCTCTTATCGAGTTATCCTCATTTCAGCTCAAACGTATTCTGAGTTTATGACACTGAATGAAATCAGGTTTTTTTTTTTTTTTTTTTTTGGAAATATGCTCAAAATTTGACTGTCCTAATTTTCTTGATCAGAGAGGGGAAAGGAATCTAACATGGCGTATGCTGCAGTGGTGTATCTCAGGCAACTGTTGGAGGAAGAATTCATTCAGTTTCTGTGCAGAGTTCTCGAGTTCGAGGAGTCCAAAGTGAAAGATTTTCATCTCAGGGTAGATAACGTCCTTAACAAATTGAATTCTGTTCAATACATTTCGCCTTCTCATCTAGCTGAACTACAAAATTACTTCCTACTTCTAGCACCCACCATTGTTGATGTAGATTTGATCGACGAGGCTGCGTTGTTCGATAGAGTGTTGTTATATGATCGCACTGTTTTAGATAGAATCCCGCAGTTGATGTTTCGACTCGATGACATTAACTCTAGATTGGAGAATTTCGTGGATTCCCGGAAATTCAGGTTACAAATCGTCTCTAGCCATTCATCTGTGATTTTAGCGCAGCAAAGTCTTATGGTATTCGCAAACAACCTGCTTTCTTTGAATAAGGAATATCAACAGGTCGTTAGCTTGCTTCTTCAGGTGGCAGAAGAAGCTATTTCCCTCCTGAATAGCCTTGGCATTTTGCTGCTGAAAGTGGAGCGTTCTACTGTTTATCATCCGGCTGGGAATCAGATACGACATCTTTCAGGCGAAGCAGGAGATCAAATTGAAGATTGTTTGACAGGATACCCCTTCTCATGGAAGAAGATTGATGTTTTAGCCCTCAGGCAGGTCAAGCAAATCATGGGTTACTTAAAAGAGATTATTGACCAATTTGACTCACACACAAGGAAGGATCAGCACCAGCTTAATGAATTACGGTCCAAATCTAGAAGTTCATTCATGTCGCAACTTCATCATCACGGCCTACTTCACCAGCGGAAGAATTTCTTCTGCATTCGGGCTGAGTGTGAAGAGGATCCTAGGGAGGTATCAGATTATATGCTTTCCCTAGAAAATGTTACACAAGTTAGAGGTTCAGCTGAATCGTCACAAAAACTGGAGCAAATCGTGATAGGTCTTGATGATGATATAGCCAGAGTCGTGGATGAACTTACTGGGCCGTCACCTACACTATCCATGGTGACAATTGCAGGAATGGGAGGTATTGGTAAAACTACTCTTGCCAAAAAAGTATTTCATCACCCGAGCATTGTCTATCATTTTCATTTTATAGCATGGGTCAATAGCATATCTAGTCCTGATCAAGCATTGTCCCATCTTTTGCAATCTATCGCGAGTGTTCGCAATGGAATCCCGGGACAAATCAGTGATGAAGACAGTGAATCATCTCCCGATGGAATTCATGATCAGAGCAGAGAGGACAAAGGCCAAATCTTGTGGAGAAGTTTAAGGAAAAGAAAGTATCTAATCGTAGTGGATGATTTATGGAGTTTTCATGCTTGGAATGATATTGAAATATACTTCCCAGATGACAGCCTTGGTAGCCGAATACTACTAACCAGTCGTTTCATGGAATTCCCCACATTTATTCCGAGAAACCACCTCCATTGTATGGAACTTCTAAATGAAGATAAAAGTTGGGAAATGCTGCAATACTTGGTATTTGGAGCGAACCAAGTTTACCCAGGTGAGTTGACGAGTATTGGGGCCCTAATAGCTAAAAAATGCAGGGGACTGCGATTAGCAATTGTTGTTATTGCTGGTATTCTCCTCAGCATTCCAAGGTCATGTGTACATTGGGAAAGTGTGTTGAAGAGCATAAACACCACAGAATCTGGCAGTGTGGAAAAATGTTTAAACATACTTGCTTTAAGTTACAACTGTTTGCCCCTTCACTTGAGAGCCTGTTTCCTTTTTATGGGGTCTTTCCCGGCAAACTGTGAAATTGATGTGCAGAAGTTAATCAATTTATGGATAGCCGACGGCTTAATGGAAGCCAGACCCTCAAAGCCTCCTGAGAAAGTGGCAGAAGATTGCTTGGAAGATCTTATTCGCAGATGCTTAGTTGTGGTTGGGCAAAGGAGTTTTGATGGGAAAATAAAAACTTGTTTCATTCATGAACTCCTCCGACAGTTATGCTTGAGAGAATCTTCTAAAGAAAGCTTCATGCAAGTTTTCCCAGGGGAAGCAGTAGATCAAGGTTTAGAAGAGCGACGGCATCTCATCTTCACTTCAATCAATCATGCTGCTGATGTCCATTTATTGCCTCCACTTTGTCATCCCCGATCTTTTATTTTGCACACTCCCGGTTTCGATATTTCACAAGATGTGCTAATGTTCAAGTTGTCATGCTTTAAATGGCTTAGGGTGCTGGACATATATTTTCTGCCTCTGGATGTTTTTCCTACAGGAATATTGGACTTAGTAAATTTAAGATACCTGGCTCTAAGCATAAGTTATATGCTTGATGCTTCAATTTCTCGGCTTTGGAAACTTCAAACCTTAGTTGTCTATGGTCCATGGATCCCCAGGGTAGTCAAATATTCACCAACTCTTTTATTTGATTATTGGAAAATGCGCTGGTTGAGGCATATAAGTGTTAGGGTTCCCAGTTGCTTCGGACATATTGACCTTCCTGAAAGGTCGCGAGGCGGTTATCCTGTTTCTAGTAATCTCCAGACTTTATCCACAGTAACATTTTCCAGCTGTACACAAGAAGCCTTCTTGTTATTGATCAATCTTAAGAATCTAGGGATTTATGAAACTAGAGAAGATTATGAAAATGGCACATGCTTAAGATGCTTTCAGAATCTGCATTCCTTGGCTGAACTAGAGACGTTGAAGTGTTCCTTTTTCAAAGCACGTGAAGCAGCAAGAAGTTTAAACCCGGATGTTTTACCAGCTTCCCTAAAAAAGTTGACTTTGATCAGGAGTTATTTGTCTTGGGATAAAATGTGTCTTCTTGCCAAGTTACCTCGACTTGAGACCTTGAAACTGAAAGATTATGCTTTCATGGGAGAAGTATGGGAAGCAACTGAGGTAATATTTGGTGGTCTGAAATACTTGCTGGTTGACAAAACTGACCTAGCTGAGTGGGAAGCTGAAGGAACCGACCATTTTCCTTGCCTGAAGCGTCTAGTGCTCAGGTCCTGCAAGTCCCTTTGTGAGATTCCTTTTGATTCTTTCACGGTCCTTGAGAAGATTGATCTGCACAACTGTAGTCGGTCAGCAGAGAATTTAGCCAAACAATTCCAAGAACAGTATGGATTTCCAGAGGTCACTGCTACATCCACGTGAGTTAAAACATTCGTATTAAAGAAAACTGACAAGTTATTTAACTGATCGGTTCCACATTTTGTATTATGGATGTAGATTGTTCCATTTGGGGGAGACATTAATGTTCTATCCTTTGATGCAACAGGAAAAGAGCAGTGGAGAAAGGTGGACAATCATATGAATTCGAGTATTGAAGATGAAGAAATGACGGACATAATGTGTTAGTGGAGTTTCAGTAAACCAATTGCTTGTATCTGGGTGAGTGTATTGGTTCATCAGCTTGAACATACAGTCGCTGATTGTATTGTTACTCATTATTGGCACCTCCTCTGTTCTGCAATATCTATTCATGAAAAGAAAATTGTTTGAAGGCTATATTATCTTCTAGTTTATAATTTTTTTTTTTGGTTTGGTGAAATTGTTCACATGTGAGAAAAATTCCTGGCAGATTACTGACTTAGGGATGTCTCTGTATCTATATGCATACTTGTCAATTGTCATGAAGAAATCATGGTCGTAAGCAGGAAAAAATGATGGTTATTAAAGGATTCGAATTAAACCTTCAAACTTAAAGTTCATAGAGGTATGTCCGAGATAGAGGTAAATTTTATTAATCACACTTTAAGAATACAAGGTATGTCCCAATAAATCCGTTACGTGTTTCTGATGTTCATGAAAAACAAAAGTTAAAGTTCATAGAGGTAAATTTTGCAGCAAATTTACTTGTCATTCTGGCAACTGCCAGTCCGAGAGGATTTTCATGGCTTGATGAGTCACCCACGAGTTTAAAAACATGGTTAGATCATGATATTATTGGTATTTCTTACTAACGGTATGTAATAGTATAATATTAAAGCATTTGTCTCTTTCATTGTAAAAAAAAAAAGAAAAAAGTTAAAAGCATAGAAGGCCAACGATTTTAACAACCATGAAGTCCTAAACAAAGTGTGCATTTTGATTAGTCTAGTTGTGGGCTTTTAGTCTTACCAAACTAATGATGGCATTAGTGGCGAAAGCAAGTTTAGTAGTTAAAGTTGTAAGCAAAAAGCAACTCAATAAATATATGGCTATATGCAAGTTAACTGTTCTCCATTCATCATGGTTTTCCTTACCAAATGACATCTAACTTCTGAATCAATCAATACTATGTGAAGTCCTTCAAGCACTTAATTAAAATATCATGGTTTTGTGACGAAGTGAGTAAAGAAATAAAAACTTTTACTTTTCGTGTTGGAGTCACCTAAATAGATATACATGGAGTCTGTATTCAGTGCACCCGAAAATACCATGCACCCCAAATCGGAATCAACAAAATTCGGCGGCTCTTCTTCTTCGTCAACAAATCCGACACCCTAAATCAGAACTAGAATCAGAATCCACTGGAATCTACCGCCTCTTCTTCTTCGGTCTTCTTGTTCAGCACCGCCGCTACCAGAATCGACTCCTGCGGCCGCTGGAATCGCAGGTCACCAACCCGCCCCAGCTTCGTCGCCCCGCCGAACACGCCGATTTTTATAAGGTGAGTCATTTTTTCATGTGTATGTGTGAGGAGTGTGTGTGTGTGAGGTGGCGGCTGGGATCGTCAGTGGCCGGAATTCTTCAATTAGAATTCATTTTAGAGCCGCCTGAAGTTGCAGGATGCACCAGAATTTACAGGGGTACATGGTGCCCCCGAGTGCACCAGATAATTTGCCTATATATGTTCCATTCAATTAGTACTAGGCTAGCATCAAGACAAACGAAACCGTCCATTCACCGATAGTTTATTTCATTTTGTCTTGGATAAAACATCCCCACATGCATTTAGCTCAAAAAAGTTCAGTAGTTTATGTTTTTTCTCATTTACTAGTCATCCTGGTTTCTCGAGTCACACTTTCTGTAGTTTATGGGAAAACCTGCTGACTCCACAACACACTAACACAGTGCGGTTTTTAGCCTGTCACTATTGTTTTAGATTAATATACGACAAAGACACTGATTTGGAGCCATTCTGAATTGATTATAGAATATATATTAACAAATAATTGGGTCTGCCATTCAAATTACTTTTGATTTAAATATATATATATATATATATATATATAGATATATTCTCTCCGTCCCACAATAATATTTTTGTTCGCTGTACTAAAACAGTTCGACAAACATTCCTAGTTTAGTTTAGAATGGAGATGATATGATGAATTATTCCTAATAATAAAAGTAGTAGATGATGATGGGATCTACAGTCCAGAACCTTAACTTTGTACTGTATCATCAATCCTCAGCACTCTTCTCTGCTCTGGACTTTTCTCCTGTTCACGGAATAACTATGCATATGAATGTTTTCTTGCATTTATTGTGCTTCTCTCCCTCCATGTATGCTGTAACTTCATCGAATTCTGATGGGAAAACTCTGTTGTCAATTCTCAGGCATTGGACTGTGGTTCCTCCATCCATCAGCTTCAGTTTTTGCTCATGGGCTGGAGTGCTGTGCCAGCAAAATGCTTATTTTGTTGCTGCTTTGAACCTGTCTGGTTTCGGCATTTCAGGTCAATTAGGATCTGAAATTGCCAACTTGAAGCAGCTGAGATCAATTGACTTGAGCTACAACAGTCTTTTTGGTTCAATTCCTGCAGAAATTGGAAACTGTACTCTGCTTCAGCTGCTGGATTTATCATTCAACAGCTTCAGTAGAGAAATGCCGGGGAGCATCGGAAACTTGCAGAACTTGGAATACATTGGCTTGTTTGATAATTCTCTCAAAGTTATGATTCCAGAATCCTTGTTTTCCATCCCTCAACTCCAAAGTATTTGCATCCACAATAATGAACTTAGTGGCACCATTCCACCAAATGTTGGAAACATGAGTGGCCTAATGTTTCTCTGGTTGTACGGCAATCAGTTATCAGGGACGATTCTTCCTCTGTAGGAACTTTCAGTTCTTTGGAAGAACTTTATTTGAATGTAAACCATTTGGTTGGATCACTTCCTGAGAGTTTAGATAATCTCCTAGAGCACTTAGTTTACCTTGATGTTAGCAGCAATATGTTAGAAGGGAGACTTCCATTTTTCTCAGGAAACCGTAAAGATATAGACACATTGGTCTTCTCTGACAATCAATTCAGTGGATATATTCCATCTGCTTTGGGGAATTGCAGTAGCCTAACAGCGCTTGCTGCGCGAAATTGTTCCTTTACCAGCTCGATTCCTTCCTCTTTTCTCCAGCTTGAGAAGCTGAAGCTTCTTTATCTTTCTACCAATCAACTGTCAGGAAAGATTCCTCCAGGGCTGGGAAATTGCAGGTCCTTGGTTGATCTAAGATTACATGAAAACCAACTTGAAGGCGAAATCCCAGTTGAGCTAGGGATGCTCAGTGAGTTGGAAAACTTGTATCTTTATACCAATAATTTGATTGGTGAAATTCCAACAAGTGTATGCAAGATTCATAGCCTCCAGAATGTTGCAGTTTATCGAAACAATCTTACTGGACAGCTTCCCGAAGAGATCACAGAATTAAAAGGGTTAAGGAACTTATGCTTGTACGGGAACAAATTGACTGGCGTGCATAATACCACAAGGGTTGGGTGTTCACAGCAGTTTAGAGCTGGTGGATTTCAGTGATAACCAATTCATAGGAAATATTCCACCCTATCTTTGCTTTGGAAATCAGTTGAAGATACTGCACTTGGGGCAGAACCAGATTCAGGGTAGCATTCCTCCAAGTTTATGGAATTGTTCTAGTTTGGAAAGGCTAATTCTGAAACAAAATCAACTCACAGGTACCGTTCCAGACTTTGCAAACTTCCCTTCAAGTTTGGGGAATTTCATGAATGCTTTCTTTCTTGACTTATCAATGAATGAACTCTCTGCAAAATGGAGAAGTTGGAATATCTTCTTTTGTCTGACAACAACTTGACTGGCAGAATTCCTGGCTGTTTTGGGAACATGAGCAAACTCGCGGTTCTGGACTTGCGAAAGAACGGCTTTTATGGGATGATTCCAACAAGTTTTGCAAAGGGAAGTGCTTTGAGAAACCTTGGTCTAAACAGCAGTCAGTTACAAGGGCCATTGCCGAAATTTCTGATCTACTGCACAAGTTTGGAAATCCTTGATGTAGGGCAAAACAATATAAGAGACTTGTTTCAGCGTGGCTTGGAAGTCTCCAGGAGCTCACTGTTCTTGTATTGAAATGGAATCGTTTCCACGGTACAATCCGCAATATTTCAGATACATCCTTCCAAAATCTGCGAATTCTGGACATTTCTCATAACCAGTTCAGTGGTTCCATACCAGCAGAAATGATGGATGGTTTTCAAGGTATGAAGATGAAGAATAATGATAACTCAACATGGATCATGGAAATAGATGACAGGATATACTATGAAAGATTGGAGCTTGAGATAAAGCGAGTGTTCACCATTTTGAAGGAAGCATTCCAAAATCAGTTGGAGAGTTTAATGCACTCCAGGTACTCAATTTTTCATACAACCTGATCAGTGGTGTCATCCCAATGACGATCGGGAACTTGTCGAACCTGGAATCCTTAGACCTATCTGGGAATAAACTTGAAGGTGCAATTCCAGCTGAACTAACAAACCTGAATTTTCTGTCAACCTTGAACCTTTCTCAGAATCAACTCGCGGGACGAATACCTACAGGTAAACAATTCAATACATTTACCTCAGATTCCTATGGTGGGAATCCAGGACTCTGTGGATTCCCACTAGGGAATTGTGGAGAAATGCCTGATGGCTTGCAAACACCATCATCTGTGAGTGATGATCGAGAGATGGATGAGATGGACCTTACAAATGAAATTATCAAAGAAGCAGCGTTTTTGGGATTAGGTTGTGGATTGATTCTTGGGTTGTTAATGGGTGGTCTAATGTTGTATACTCGAAAGCCGAAATAGTTCAATGAAACTGTTGGAGCCTTGGAGGAATCTATAAGCCTCAGAAAACACAGACTGAAGAATGCATCAGGTAGCTGATACTGTGTATATGGAGTCTTGGATTTGATCATGTCATTTGATCAGCTTCGTGAATGCTTGCTTCAGTAATGGTCGACATCTTTAATTGACTTTTTAGTTACTTGTTAGTTTTTGTCCTCTTCATAACTTTAGAAGGGAGTTGGATGATTTCCACTGAATTAGTGTCCGACCTTTAATTTTATTTTTTTATAGTCTGCGGCAGAGTGTACATTGACAGATTAAGCGAATACACATCACATTCAAACTATATAAATATTTCACATTGTTCGATTTGGTATTATCTTATTGATTAGTCTGGTGTTATATTCTTTCGGTACTAAAACAATTGTGTTTATTATATTGGGAGGTCTTTTTATTAAGGAAGGGACATATAGAGTATCTAATAATAGTTTTGGGGCTAAATTCAAAATTTTAGGGACAAAATCTGATCTGAAATGAGGATAATTTCATGGAATTAAATTCTAAAAGGAATTTTACAAGAAAGAAGAAGCCAAAAGCAGCCAAATTTGTTTAATGAATAAAACAAATTCACTTATTTCCGCATATAAAGGCAAGGGTGTTCTTGTCATTTGATCTTCTTCCTCGGTTACTTCCTTTCCCGCTCAAACCTGAGACTGATTTCGGGTCTTCTGTAAACGGATCTAGATAATATGAACCGGGTCGTCATCAGTTTTGCGGGAAGAAGAACGAACCTCTCTTCTCTAAGTGCCTCTTTATAAAACCATACTCTTCCTCCTCACCGTCATTCAGGCCCTGTTCCTCACTCTACACCTTTCAGTTTCTCTCTCTACGGCTTGTTCCTCTTACTTTCTCTCTCTAGGTCAACGAATTCCCCTGCTGATTCAGGTAAAAATTCTATCTTTTTACCCACAGTATCTTGTAATTCATCGATAGTTTATGAACAAATCTAGGTTTCTCGTTGTTTAGATGCTCAGATTGATCCGAAATGAGCTCAATTTCATGTTTAATTGCGATGATATGTTAATATAATTCATGCGATTCCTTCTGCTTAATGTTCGCCGTTCATCTCATTCGTGAATTTGTCTGTATCTTTTGCATAATCGATGCTCAAATTACTCCGTGTAAGATGCGTAAAATGGAATTCCGACCTTAAAAGCTTGAATCTTTCACAACATAATGCGTTTGTGCGTGTAATGTGCGGGTGACGGAGAAATGTTTGATTTCTAATGAAGGAAATGAAAGGAAGAGAGTGAAAAATCAATTCTTTTGTCAATGAGATTGTTGTGAATTGTCTTCGTAAAATAGTTTGTGTTTGTTCTCGCTAATATCTGAAAATGTTATGGATTGTTCATCTTCATTCAATGTAACATGATTATCACACAATTGACTGTTTCGTAGAAGAAAATTCATCTCTTTTCCTCCTCTGCAGTTGAATTGGTACACTAAATTCAATGGAGGGAGAAATAGCAAAATTAGGGCTCAGAGGCAAGAGAATTCCCACCGGTAAGAGCAGCTACGATAACAGTCTCCGATCGTCGCTTCTCTCAAGTCAACTCGGCAGTGACGGAGGTCTGAACACTCTCCGGCCATCGGAGTTGCAGATGATGATGATGACGTCACGCTCTGATCACTCCAACTTCCTCAAGGACCTGCACCACCGTCAAGACGTCATGGACCGCCAGCACGCCGTGCTTACTTTCCTGGAAAAAGCAGCCGAGGAAGCGCAATCTCTTCGCGAAGAAAACATCGGTCTCAAGATGGTCAACTCTCGGTTGACTGGCGAACTGGCTTACCTGCGGAAGCCGCTTCTCATTATGCTGCGGCGGCGGTTGGGCATTCGGGTATGGGTGTAGGTCCGGATCCGCTTTATGATCTGAATTCTATTATAAATGTAATGGAGAGCATGGGCTTGGTTGGGGAGAGTAACGGAGGGCACAACATGACTGCAAAAGTGATCTGGTGAATACAGTTCCGCCTGGCTTTAAGGATTTTGATCCTACTGAAGAGAAAGAGAACTTGGTTCGAATCCGGACCGTGTTACATTGCCCAAGAGTATCTCCATTCGGTCCAATGGGTACCTGAAAACTGCTCAACCTGGTGGAAGCAGTGGACTGAAAGCAAATAAGGTATTCTAACCCTACCAGAAATTGCCTTTGAAGATAGATATCTGAACCTTAAAATCTGTGACACTGCATTTTACAATTGTATGTGAAGGTAACGACAAACGGATTTTAGGCACCTTACTGTCTATTTATCATTCTATAGTATAAAATGTTCCATAATAGGGGGTTATCATTCAACAAGATTGCAATTTGTTTGATTCTTGAAATGTGTCGACCAGTTGTTGGTCTTTATTAGAGGAGTCATGTTTCATTTGGTTGATTAAGAAATGTCTAGACCAATTAGGCCTGTTATACTTCAGTGCTGTTTTGTTCTCCGTTAGAGTCAATGATTTCCTTTGGTATCTGTAGAATGTGAACTGTAAAAAAATCGTTTTGCCAAGAAATTTTACAGACAATGAGTAACAAGAAAGAAAGGACCTTTTAGGTCAGAAGGTACAAGCCTTTCCTCAATTCAGATACCTATAGAGACTAAGTTTCACATTGTCTGTTTTGATTATGCTCAATTACTTATTTCTGTGGGGTTATAATTGGAGATACGCCTCTTCGCCTGTATAGCTTCTGTCGGCTGATATGTGATTAATTCTTTGCTTCCCATATTGGTGGTATGAAATTGGATTTTCTTTTTCAAGTCGAATCAAAACAAAGGGCTTAAGAACTTTGCTTCCAGCATCTTGCTCCAAGAAGTCAACTCTGCTTGTTCGTTATTTGTAAAACTTCTTCTGATTAAAGTTGCTGATTGTGTGAATGCAGCAAAGGGTATATGTTCCAGGAGGAGAAACAGAGGAGGAACCACTAGAGGTGGATGTGTACAAGCAGGGAATGCGGAAGACTGAGCTGTGCAACAAATGGCAAGAGACGGGGACATGTCCATATGGGGAAAACTGCCAGTTTGCTCATGGGATCAAGGAGCTGCGACCCATAATTCGCCATCCACGCTACAAGACTGAAGTGTGCCGCATGGTTCTGGATGGTGTTCACTGCCCCTATGGACACAGGTGCCACTTCCGCCATACTCTAACCGATGAAGAGAAGCTCAAGAGGTCCAGGAACGTGAGGCCCCTGAAACCAGTTAACCGTTAGTTTCCATCTATCTGCATTCCATCAACCTTCTGAGGATGAACTGAAGATTTTTTTAAATGCTGTTACATGTGGATAAATAAGTACGCACCAAAGGCGCTGTTTATGGTTCGTAATCTTAGAAGTTCATAATTAGGCAGTGTGAAGCATAACTAGCCTAGTAAAGTGGCAGAAGTAACAGTATCGTTAGAACTAATAAAGTGAGGCGAGCTGCTAGAGTGCATATCACCATCAGCATGTACTCATAAGGTAATAATGTCTGTATTTGTTTACGATATCTTCTATATCAATTTAGCATTGTGATAAATTGCATATTTCATGCGTAAATGTAGCATTTAGTCTGATCATCTTACCCAGTGGAGGAAGACTGAGATCATCTATGTAACTATGTAGGCATTTACTTGTAACTGCCACCATTGAGCTTTTCGTGTTTTGTATTTCGAGTAGTAACTTTTGTAAGAACTTTTGGGGTAAATAGCCATTGTGGACTATTACAAAGGAAGACATTGTGTTTGGGAATTGGAAATGTTGATATCTCACTTAGCCGGTGATGCAGTGAATTCACAGTGTAAACTTGTGTTTTTGGTGTATTACGTACTCGTGTCCGAAACTCTGTCGAGTGAAAAGTGAGTTTAACATTGCTTCAAAATGTATGTTTGTTCAGACTTCATACTTCCCCTTATTGGACTCTTAGCATAGCAAGGTGATGCATCACGATGACGATGGTACAGTCACTGCTGACAACTGAATATTGATTGTATCTATTATTTGTGGGCGTGGTGCGGCATCTCGGCCCAAATTGCATAGCCAGTTAGTTAGGGTTGGGCAAAGTAGTTGCAGTGGACTTACTCTAGGGCCTTTCTACTTCTATTGTTGCCCAAATGCTAGCTTTTCAGATTAGGGAGGGTTCTTGATTCCCTGCTGCCACCACAAAACCAAGCGTTCAAATCTCTATAAATAGTCCTTTATGCCACGATGAGAAGAGTAAGAAAGGAACAAGAAGGGGAGTAGGAGATGGATCTCGCAGAAGTTGTCGGTGTTGGGGGTGCTCGGAGAGGACGTTCTCAAGCAGGTCAATTGAACTTGGCTGAAATGAAGAACTTGTCCTTCCCAAGTCCCCCCATACCGATGATTTCTTGGTGTTCCTCCTTCTCCCTAGCTTTTGTTCTTGTGATCTAATACTATCAGCTTTACCTCCTCGATCTGTATGCTATGTTGATATCTTTAGTATATAAGCGTCGTAATCACCTCCTTTTCAACTTTTAATGTATGTTTTTGCTATACTTTTCTTGCTTATAAAGTCCAGATGTGATCTAGTTCACGCCATTTAATTTAATGTACTATTAGTTGACTTTTTCCTAGCCGTGGTTGCGATCACCATAAATATAGTTTCGAAATGAATCAAATGATTAGAAGAATCATAGTGGGTTTGGGAATAGGATGGTTGACTTTTTATGGTATCAATAGTCTCGGGGAGGGATCTGTCTGCGAAAGAGGAGTTATTCAGATGACAGTGAATCAGTGATGACCGATGACCTTATAAAGCTTGATTGGCGATCTAAGCATGTTTTTAACTTTCTCCCCTACTAGAAAGGGTATAAAACAACTTTGGAAGCTAGGTATAACGCTATTCTCGGATTCTTGGATTTGTGTTTGAGATGAAGTTTGATCTTATGACTTATGGTTATTTAATTTTTAGCTTTGATTAGTTGCTAGAGTTTATAGGAAGGCATTTAAAGACGATGAGCCCAAAGCTTCTGTGTGTTTCAAATTCTGGCAAGTAAAGCTGTATATGAAATTATGAAGCCAATTCCGTTAGTTATTACTTATTGGTGTGATAGTAGTAGTCTAGGCATGATAGAAAACTTGTTACAGGGAGCGTTTGCAGATATTGTTTGGTGACTAAGATCCTCTGGGTGGTTATTCTTCTTTTGAATGGTTATGACCATGAAGATTCAGTGAAGGAAGACATCATATATGTCAGCCAAAAAAAAAGTTGGAAAATCTGGCAGGTCATCCCTGAGTTCTGCGGTCGACCTTGGTTGAAAAGCGTTCAAGTTTTCTTTGGGTGATTGTTGCAGAAATTTTGAAGGTGGAAATGAAATGAGAGGTACCTTAGACGAGTTAGTGTCAACACCTGTTGCTGGCAAATAGTTCATCTTTCTTTCCTCCGACAAATTAACCAAATTTCTCTCCTGAAAACTTTTGCTTTGGTATCTGAAACATATAGCATCGATCTAATATACTACCAGTCTACCACTGGTTTTCAAAAGAATGATAATCCCACTTCCCACCCACTCAATTTAGCAGTTCAAGATACCAGACCTATAAAAATAGGCATGTGCTTTGTAGAATGAAAGCATGAAGGCAAACTGGTACTTCAAATGATAAATCAGTGAATCAAAAGAGGATGTGCTTTTCTGCAGGCTAGTGATTGAGAAATACTAATTGGCAACCAAAACTAATTCAAAACTTTTGAAGACCAAATTATGTGACTTAAAGGGAAGGAGATATATTTGAAAGTATTACAACATCAAGTTCCACCACTAAACCCTCAGATCCAATTGATGATGAATAGGTTGGTGCAGCACAAGAACATCTTGACATCATGTGCCTTGTGGATAATAGTAGATTCAACATCCTTCCCCATTTGGGATGTTCAGAATAAATCCTTTTCGAATAGAAACCCATAAAACCTTGGAGTGCATCGAGAATGTCAATGGTAAAGTGTCATAACTCAGTGTTTCATGGTACCATATCAGAAACTCATGGATGAAGTTTGAAGGTTTAATTCGACCATGATTTCTGATATGGTACCATGAAACACTGAGTTATGACACTTTACCATTGACATTCTCGATGCACTCCAAGGTTTTATGGGTTTCTATTCGAAAAGGATTTATTCTGAACATCCCAAATGGGGAAGGATGTTGAATCTACTATTATCCACAAGGCACATGATGTCAAGATGTTCTTGTGCTGCACCAACCTATTCATCATCAATTGGATCTGAGGGTTTAGTGGTGGAACTTGATGTTGTAATACTTTCAAATATATCTCCTTCCCTTTAAGTCACATAATTTGGTCTTCAAAAGTTTTGAATTAGTTTTGGTTGCCAATTAGTATTTCTCAATCACTAGCCTGCAGAAAAGCACATCCTCTTTTGATTCACTGATTTATCATTTGAAGTACCAGTTTGCCTTCATGCTTTCATTCTACAAAGCACATGCCTATTTTTATAGGTCTGGTATCTTGAACTGCTAAATTGAGTGGGTGGGAAGTGGGATTATCATTCTTTTGAAAACCAGTGGTAGACTGGTAGTATATTAGATCGATGCTATATGTTTCAGATACCAAAGCAAAAGTTTTCAGGAGAGAAATTTGGTTAATTTGTCGGAGGAAAGAAAGATGAACTATTTGCCAGCAACAGGTGTTGACACTAACTCGTCTAAGGTACCTCTCATTTCATTTCCACCTTCAAAATTTCTGCAACAATCACCCAAAGAAAACTTGAACGCTTTTCAACCAAGGTCGACCGCAGAACTCAGGGATGACCTGCCAGATTTTCCAACTTTTTTTTTGGCTGACATATATGATGTCTTCCTTCACTGAATCTTCATGGTCATAACCATTCAAAAGAAGAATAACCACCCAGAGGATCTTAGTCACCAAACAATATCTGCAAACGCTCCCTGTAACAAGTTTTCTATCATGCCTAGACTACTACTATCACACCAATAAGTAATAACTAACGGAATTGGCTTCATAATTTCATATACAGCTTTACTTGCCAGAATTTGAAACACACAGAAGCTTTGGGCTCATCGTCTTTAAATGCCTTCCTATAAACTCTAGCAACTAATCAAAGCTAAAAATTAAATAACCATAAGTCATAAGATCAAACTTCATCTCAAACACAAATCCAAGAATCCGAGAATAGCGTTATACCCAGTTCCAAAGTTGTTTTATACCCTTTCTAGTAGGGGAGAAAGTTAAAAACATGCTTAGATCGCCAATCAAGCTTTATAAGGTCATCGGTCATCACTGATTCACTGTCATCTGAATAACTCCTCTTTCGCAGACAGATCCCTCCCCGAGACTATTGATACCATAAAAAAGTCAACCATCCTATTCCCAAACCCACTATGATTCTTCTAATCATTTGATTCATTTCAGAAACTATATTTATGGTGATCGCTAACCACGGCTAGGAAAAAGTCAACTAATAGTACATTAAATTAAATGGCGTGAACTAGATCACATCTGGACTTTATAAGCAAGAAAAGTATAGCAAAAACATACATTAAAAGTTGAAAAGGAGGTGATTACGACGCTTATATACTAAAGATATCAACATAGCATACAGATCGAGGAGGTAAAGCTGATAGTATTAGATCACAAGAACAAAAGCTAGGGAGAAGGAGGAACACCAAGAAATCATCGGTATGGGGGGACTTGGGAAGGACAAGTTCTTCATTTCAGCCAAGTTCAATTGACCTGCTTGAGAACGTCCTCTCCGAGCACCCCCAACACCGACAACTTCTTGCAGAGATCCATCTCCTACTCCCCCTTCTTGTTCCTTTCTTACTCTTCTCATCAGGGCATAAAGGACTATTTATAGAGATTTGAACGCTTGGTTTTGTGGTGAAGCAGGGGAATCTGAAGAACCCTCCCTAATCTGAAAAAGCTAGCATTTGGGCAACAATAGAAGTAGAAAGGCCCTAGAGTAAGTCCACTGCAACTACTTTGCCCAACCCTAACTAATCTGGGCTATGCAATTTGGGCCAGTAGATGCCAGACCACAGCCACAAATAATAGATACAATCAATATTCAGTTGTCAGCAGTGACTGTACCATCGTCATCGTGATGCATCACCTTGCTATGCTAAGAGTCCAATAAGGGGAAGTATGAAGTCTGAACAAACATACATTTTGAAGCAATGTTAAACGCACTTTTTCACTCAGGACAGTAGTTTCGGACACAGAGTACGTAATACACCAAAAACACAAGTTTACACTGTGAATTCACTGCATCACCGGCTAAGTGAGATATCAACATTTCCAATTCCCAAACACAATGTCTTCCTTTGTAATAGTCCACAATGGCTATTTACCCCAAAAGTTCTTACAAAAGTTACTACTCAGAAATACAAAACACAGAAAAAGCTCAATGGTGGCAGTTACAAGTAAATGCCTACATAGTTACATAGATGATCTCAGGTCTTCCTCCACTGGGTAAGATGATCAGACTAAATGCTACATTTACGCATGAAATATGCAATTTATCACAATGCTAAATTGATATAGAAGATATCGTAAACAAATACAGACATTATTACCTTATGAGTACATGCTGATGGTGATATGCACTCTAGCAGCTCGCCTCACTTTATTAGTTCTAACGATACTGTTACTTCTGCCACTTTACTAGGCTAGTTATGCTTCACACTGCCTAATTATGAACTTCTAAGATTACGAACCATAAACAGCGCCTTTGGTGCGTACTTATTTATCCACATGTAACAGCATTTAAAAAAATCTTCAGTTCATCCTCAGAAGGTTGATGGAATGCAGATAGATGGAAACTAACGGTTAACTGGTTTCAGGGGCCTCACGTTCCTGGACCTCTTGAGCTTCTCTTCATCGGTTAGAGTATGGCGGAAGTGGCACCTGTGTCCATAGGGGCAGTGAACACCATCCAGAACCATGCGGCACACTTCAGTCTTGTAGCGTGGATGGCGAATTATGGGTCGCAGCTCCTTGATCCCATGAGCAAACTGGCAGTTTTCCCCATATGGACATGTCCCCGTCTCTTGCCATTTGTTGCACAGCTCAGTCTTCCGCATTCCCTGCTTGTACACATCCACCTCTAGTGGTTCCTCCTCTGTTTCTCCTCCTGGAACATATACCCTTTGCTGCATTCACACAATCAGCAACTTTAATCAGAAGAAGTTTTACAAATAACGAACAAGCAGAGTTGACTTCTTGGAGCAAGATGCTGGAAGCAAAGTTCTTAAGCCCTTTGTTTTGATTCGACTTGAAAAGAAAATCCAATTTCATACCACCAATATGGGAAGCAAAGAATTAATCACATATCAGCCGACAGAAGCTATACAGGCGAAGAGGCGTATCTCCAATTATAACCCCACAGAAATAAGTAATTGAGCATAATCAAAACAGACAATGTGAAACTTAGTCTCTATAGGTATCTGAATTGAGGAAAGGCTTGTACCTTCTGACCTAAAAGGTCCTTTCTTTCTTGTTACTCATTGTCTGTAAAATTTCTTGGCAAAACGATTTTTTTACAGTTCACATTCTACAGATACCAAAGGAAATCATTGACTCTAACGGAGAACAAAACAGCACTGAAGTATAACAGGCCTAATTGGTCTAGACATTTCTTAATCAACCAAATGAAACATGACTCCTCTAATAAAGACCAACAACTGGTCGACACATTTCAAGAATCAAACAAATTGCAATCTTGTTGAATGATAACCCCCTATTATGGAACATTTTATACTATAGAATGATAAATAGACAGTAAGGTGCCTAAAATCCGTTTGTCGTTACCTTCACATACAATTGTAAAATGCAGTGTCACAGATTTTAAGGTTCAGATATCTATCTTCAAAGGCAATTTCTGGTAGGGTTAGAATACCTTATTTGCTTTCAGTCCACTGCTTCCACCAGGTTGAGCAGTTTTCAGGTACCCATTGGACCGAATGGAGATACTCTTGGGCAATGTAACACGGTCCGGATTCGGAACCAAGTTCTCTTTCTCTTCAGTAGGATCAAAATCCTTAAAGCCAGGCGGAACTGTATTCACCAGATCACTTTTGCAGTCATGTTGTGCCCCTCCGTTACTCTCCCCAACCAAGCCCATGCTCTCCATTACATTTATAATAGAATTCAGATCATAAAGCGGATCCGGACCTACACCCATACCCGAATGCCCAACCGCCGCCGCAGCATAATGAGAAGCGGCTTCCCGCAGGTAAGCCAGTTCGCCAGTCAACCGAGAGTTGACCATCTTGAGACCGATGTTTTCTTCGCGAAGAGATTGCGCTTCCTCGGCTGCTTTTTCCAGGAAAGTAAGCACGGCGTGCTGGCGGTCCATGACGTCTTGACGGTGGTGCAGGTCCTTGAGGAAGTTGGAGTGATCAGAGCGTGACGTCATCATCATCATCTGCAACTCCGATGGCCGGAGAGTGTTCAGACCTCCGTCACTGCCGAGTTGACTTGAGAGAAGCGACGATCGGAGACTGTTATCGTAGCTGCTCTTACCGGTGGGAATTCTCTTGCCTCTGAGCCCTAATTTTGCTATTTCTCCCTCCATTGAATTTAGTGTACCAATTCAACTGCAGAGGAGGAAAAGAGATGAATTTTCTTCTACGAAACAGTCAATTGTGTGATAATCATGTTACATTGAATGAAGATGAACAATCCATAACATTTTCAGATATTAGCGAGAACAAACACAAACTATTTTACGAAGACAATTCACAACAATCTCATTGACAAAAGAATTGATTTTTCACTCTCTTCCTTTCATTTCCTTCATTAGAAATCAAACATTTCTCCGTCACCCGCACATTACACGCACAAACGCATTATGTTGTGAAAGATTCAAGCTTTTAAGGTCGGAATTCCATTTTACGCATCTTACACGGAGTAATTTGAGCATCGATTATGCAAAAGATACAGACAAATTCACGAATGAGATGAACGGCGAACATTAAGCAGAAGGAATCGCATGAATTATATTAACATATCATCGCAATTAAACATGAAATTGAGCTCATTTCGGATCAATCTGAGCATCTAAACAACGAGAAACCTAGATTTGTTCATAAACTATCGATGAATTACAAGATACTGTGGGTAAAAAGATAGAATTTTTACCTGAATCAGCAGGGGAATTCGTTGACCTAGAGAGAGAAAGTAAGAGGAACAAGCCGTAGAGAGAGAAACTGAAAGGTGTAGAGTGAGGAACAGGGCCTGAATGACGGTGAGGAGGAAGAGTATGGTTTTATAAAGAGGCACTTAGAGAAGAGAGGTTCGTTCTTCTTCCCGCAAAACTGATGACGACCCGGTTCATATTATCTAGATCCGTTTACAGAAGACCCGAAATCAGTCTCAGGTTTGAGCGGGAAAGGAAGTAACCGAGGAAGAAGATCAAATGACAAGAACACCCTTGCCTTTATATGCGGAAATAAGTGAATTTGTTTTATTCATTAAACAAATTTGGCTGCTTTTGGCTTCTTCTTTCTTGTAAAATTCCTTTTAGAATTTAATTCCATGAAATTATCCTCATTTCAGATCAGATTTTGTCCCTAAAATTTTGAATTTAGCCCCAAAACTATTATTAGATACTCTATATGTCCCTTCCTTAATAAAAAGACCTCCCAATATAATAAACACAATTGTTTTAGTACCGAAAGAATATAACACCAGACTAATCAATAAGATAATACCAAATCGAACAATGTGAAATATTTATATAGTTTGAATGTGATGTGTATTCGCTTAATCTGTCAATGTACACTCGCATGCAGACTATAAAAAATAAAATTAAAGGTCGGACACTAATTCAGTGGAAATCATCCAACTCCCTTCTAAAGTTATGAAGAGGACAAAAACTAACAAGTAACTAAAAAGTCAATTAAAGATGTCGACCATTACTGAAGCAAGCATTCACGAAGCTGATCAAATGACATGATCAAATCCAAGACTCCATATACACAGTATCAGCTACCTGATGCATTCTTCAGTCTGTGTTTTCTGAGGCTTATAGATTCCTCCAAGGCTCCAACAGTTTCATTGAACTATTTCGGCTTTCGAGTATACAACATTAGACCACCCATTAACAACCCAAGAATCAATCCACAACCTAATCCCAAAAACGCTGCTTCTTTGATAATTTCATTTGTAAGGTCCATCTCATCCATCTCTCGATCATCACTCACAGATGATGGTGTTTGCAAGCCATCAGGCATTTCTCCACAATTCCCTAGTGGGAATCCACAGAGTCCTGGATTCCCACCATAGGAATCTGAGGTAAATGTATTGAATTGTTTACCTGTAGGTATTCGTCCCGCGAGTTGATTCTGAGAAAGGTTCAAGGTTGACAGAAAATTCAGGTTTGTTAGTTCAGCTGGAATTGCACCTTCAAGTTTATTCCCAGATAGGTCTAAGGATTCCAGGTTCGACAAGTTCCCGATCGTCATTGGGATGACACCACTGATCAGGTTGTATGAAAAATTGAGTACCTGGAGTGCATTAAACTCTCCAACTGATTTTGGAATGCTTCCTTCAAAATGGTGAACACTCGCTTTATCTCAAGCTCCAATCTTTCATAGTATATCCTGTCATCTATTTCCATGATCCATGTTGAGTTATCATTATTCTTCATCTTCATACCTTGAAAACCATCCATCATTTCTGCTGGTATGGAACCACTGAACTGGTTATGAGAAATGTCCAGAATTCGCAGATTTTGGAAGGATGTATCTGAAATATTGCGGATTGTACCGTGGAAACGATTCCATTTCAATACAAGAACAGTGAGCTCCTGGAGACTTCCAAGCCACGCTGGAAACAAGTCTCTTATATTGTTTTGCCCTACATCAAGGATTTCCAAACTTGTGCAGTAGATCAGAAATTTCGGCAATGGCCCTTGTAACTGACTGCTGTTTAGACCAAGGTTTCTCAAAGCACTTCCCTTTGCAAAACTTGTTGGAATCATCCCATAAAAGCCGTTCTTTCGCAAGTCCAGAACCGCGAGTTTGCTCATGTTCCCAAAACAGCCAGGAATTCTGCCAGTCAAGTTGTTGTCAGACAAAAGAAGATATTCCAACTTCTCCATTTTGCAGAGAGTTCATTCATTGATAAGTCAAGAAAGAAAGCATTCATGAAATTCCCCAAACTTGAAGGGAAGTTTGCAAAGTCTGGAACGGTACCTGTGAGTTGATTTTGTTTCAGAATTAGCCTTTCCAAACTAGAACAATTCCATAAACTTGGAGGAATGCTACCCTGAATCTGGTTCTGCCCCAAGTGCAGTATCTTCAACTGATTTCCAAAGCAAAGATAGGGTGGAATATTTCCTATGAATTGGTTATCACTGAAATCCACCAGCTCTAAACTGCTGTGAACACCCAACCCTTGTGGTATTATGCACGCCAGTCAATTTGTTCCCGTACAAGCATAAGTTCCTTAACCCTTTTAATTCTGTGATCTCTTCGGGAAGCTGTCCAGTAAGATTGTTTCGATAAACTGCAACATTCTGGAGGCTATGAATCTTGCATACACTTGTTGGAATTTCACCAATCAAATTATTGGTATAAAGATACAAGTTTTCCAACTCACTGAGCATCCCTAGCTCAACTGGGATTTCGCCTTCAAGTTGGTTTTCATGTAATCTTAGATCAACCAAGGACCTGCAATTTCCCAGCCCTGGAGGAATCTTTCCTGACAGTTGATTGGTAGAAAGATAAAGAAGCTTCAGCTTCTCAAGCTGGAGAAAAGAGGAAGGAATCGAGCTGGTAAAGGAACAATTTCGCGCAGCAAGCGCTGTTAGGCTACTGCAATTCCCCAAAGCAGATGGAATATATCCACTGAATTGATTGTCAGAGAAGACCAATGTGTCTATATCTTTACGGTTTCCTGAGAAAAATGGAAGTCTCCCTTCTAACATATTGCTGCTAACATCAAGGTAAACTAAGTGCTCTAGGAGATTATCTAAACTCTCAGGAAGTGATCCAACCAAATGGTTTACATTCAAATAAAGTTCTTCCAAAGAACTGAAAGTTCCTACAGAGGAAGAATCGTCCCTGATAACTGATTGCCGTACAACCAGAGAAACATTAGGCCACTCATGTTTCCAACATTTGGTGGAATGGTGCCACTAAGTTCATTATTGTGGATGCAAATACTTTGGAGTTGAGGGATGGAAAACAAGGATTCTGGAATCATAACTTTGAGAGAATTATCAAACAAGCCAATGTATTCCAAGTTCTGCAAGTTTCCGATGCTCCCCGGCATTTCTCTACTGAAGCTGTTGAATGATAAATCCAGCAGCTGAAGCAGAGTACAGTTTCCAATTTCTGCAGGAATTGAACCAAAAAGACTGTTGTAGCTCAAGTCAATTGATCTCAGCTGCTTCAAGTTGGCAATTTCAGATCCTAATTGACCTGAAATGCCGAAACCAGACAGGTTCAAAGCAGCAACAAAATAAGCATTTTGCTGGCACAGCACTCCAGCCCATGAGCAAAAACTGAAGCTGATGGATGGAGGAACCACAGTCCAATGCCTGAGAATTGACAACAGAGTTTTCCCATCAGAATTCGATGAAGTTACAGCATACATGGAGGAGAGAAGCACAATAAATGCAAGAAAACATTCATATGCATAGTTATTCCGTGAACAGGAGAAAAGTCCAGAGCAGAGAAGAGTGCTGAGGATTGATGATACAGTACAAAGTTAAGGTTCTGGACTGTAGATCCCATCATCATCTACTACTTTTATTATTAGGAATAATTCATCATATCATCTCCATTCTAAACTAAACTAGGAATGTTTGTCGAACTGTTTTAGTACAGCGAACAAAAATATTATTGTGGGACGGAGAGAATATATCTATATATATATATATATTTAAATCAAAAGTAATTTGAATGGCAGACCCAATTATTTGTTAATATATATTCTATAATCAATTCAGAATGGCTCCAAATCAGTGTCTTTGTCGTATATTAATCTAAAACAATAGTGACAGGCTAAAAACCGCACTGTGTTAGTGTGTTGTGGAGTCAGCAGGTTTTCCCATAAACTACAGAAAGTGTGACTCGAGAAACCAGGATGACTAGTAAATGAGAAAAAACATAAACTACTGAACTTTTTTGAGCTAAATGCATGTGGGGATGTTTTATCCAAGACAAAATGAAATAAACTATCGGTGAATGGACGGTTTCGTTTGTCTTGATGCTAGCCTAGTACTAATTGAATGGAACATATATAGGCAAATTATCTGGTGCACTCGGGGGCACCATGTACCCCTGTAAATTCTGGTGCATCCTGCAACTTCAGGCGGCTCTAAAATGAATTCTAATTGAAGAATTCCGGCCACTGACGATCCCAGCCGCCACCTCACACACACACACTCCTCACACATACACATGAAAAAATGACTCACCTTATAAAAATCGGCGTGTTCGGCGGGGCGACGAAGCTGGGGCGGGTTGGTGACCTGCGATTCCAGCGGCCGCAGGAGTCGATTCTGGTAGCGGCGGTGCTGAACAAGAAGACCGAAGAAGAAGAGGCGGTAGATTCCAGTGGATTCTGATTCTAGTTCTTGATTTAGGGTGTCGGATTTGTTGACGAAGAAGAAGAGCCGCCGAATTTTGTTGATTCCGATTTGGGGTGCATGGTATTTTCGGGTGCACTGAATACAGACTCCATGTATATCTATTTAGGTGACTCCAACACGAAAAGTAAAAGTTTTTATTTCTTTACTCACTTCGTCACAAAACCATGATATTTTAATTAAGTGCTTGAAGGACTTCACATAGTATTGATTGATTCAGAAGTTAGATGTCATTTGGTAAGGAAAACCATGATGAATGGAGAACAGTTAACTTGCATATAGCCATATATTTATTGAGTTGCTTTTTGCTTACAACTTTAACTACTAAACTTGCTTTCGCCACTAATGCCATCATTAGTTTGGTAAGACTAAAAGCCCACAACTAGACTAATCAAAATGCACACTTTGTTTAGGACTTCATGGTTGTTAAAATCGTTGGCCTTCTATGCTTTTAACTTTTTTCTTTTTTTTTTTACAATGAAAGAGACAAATGCTTTAATATTATACTATTACATACCGTTAGTAAGAAATACCAATAATATCATGATCTAACCATGTTTTTAAACTCGTGGGTGACTCATCAAGCCATGAAAATCCTCTCGGACTGGCAGTTGCCAGAATGACAAGTAAATTTGCTGCAAAATTTACCTCTATGAACTTTAACTTTTGTTTTTCATGAACATCAGAAACACGTAACGGATTTATTGGGACATACCTTGTATTCTTAAAGTGTGATTAATAAGATTCAAACCCTTACTATCATCTGGTTACTTTGTGCCTTCACCACTTAAACCAGTTCACTTTTTCATATCATCGCTATTACACTTTATTATACATTTTCATTGTACGTATCATTTTCCGTGGTAATAATTTTTTTTTCCCTTTACTTTCTTGAAAGATTTTTTTTCCCTTTTTTAAACCCTTCAACAAAAATTGATGAACATAACCCTTCACATTGTCATCGGACCCTTCAACAAGAATTCAGTACTCTTTCAGTTCTTTATCGGACTAAAAAAGCGAATCAGACTTATTTTTTCTTTCGTTTGTCATAATAGGATTATTATTGTAAAATGTAAAGAATATTAATGTATTTACTAAAAAATACAGATGAAATGTCTCTTAATATTGTTCTACTCACATAATTGACTATTCAACCACGTTACAATAGCATATCAAAGTGCTAAAAGGTTACACATACACAAAAATGGTACTATAGAAAAATAAAATACATATAATTTCACATTTGGCCATATATCAATTCCTTCTTGTAGGTGCTCTAGTTTTTGATATACAGTGTTGATCAGCACCTCACTGTAACGTATATAGAGATGCATCATACACTTCCATTTGCAACTTAATTAGTAAAACAAAGGATTATTTATTTTACGGATTATGAACTAACTCTACAAATTCATTTCTATATATATACTTTTCTCATCTGTAAATCTTCTCATCTCCAAACACGATCAAAATGTGGCAAAGAAAGGGCGGGCTACGGATATTGGAGTCCCTTGAAGGATCTTAGGTTGATGGACCTGATGAGTTTCTCCCGGTCAGTGAGACTGTGCCGGAAGTGGCAACGGTGTCCGTAAGGGCAATGGTCGCCGTTGAGCACCATCCGACACACTTCGGTCTTGTACCGAGGGTGTCGGATGACGGGGCGAAGCTCATGAATGCCATGAGCAAATTGGCAGTGATCTCCATAAGGACATGCCCCGGTGTCTTGCCATTTATTGCACAATTCAGTCTTGAACATCCCTTGATTGTATACCTCTAACTCCATCGGCTGCTCCTCTTTTTTCCCTCCTCTCACGTATACCCTTTGCTGCAAACATTTATAGTAATTTATCACACCCCATAAAATAAAATCAGCTAAATAAAAGAATTAACACAACTTTTAAATTCAAGAAATACAATGCAACTTCTTAAAATCAATGGATGGCCATATACATATATATAATGCATGTAATAAAAAGGAACTTTTTCAAAAATAAATAAATAAATAAGTAGTAGTATCAGATTTCAGATTTCCAACTTTAAAATTTTGATTTTACTAAGCGTAATAGTATATCGTTAGATAAAATTCCAACGAAAGGAAGTGTGAAATAATAAAATTTACCGCGTCATTGCAGATTTTGTTACTACTCTTGAGTACCTTATTTACCCCAACTCCAATTCCACTACTACTACTAATATTATTACTCCCACCGGTAGCTTGAACCGACGACTTCAAGTATCCCGTTGACCGGACGGAAATGCTCTTGGGTAAAACCACCCTGTCGGAATTCCCTTCAACCCTGCCGGAATCCATCACGCTGGTCGGACTCGGACTTTCACCTTCACTCCCCACATCATTGCCGGCCAAACACATCCAGCTCAACCCGCTAACCACCGAATCCATACCGGAACTCGATGAAAGCCCGTAATCCGACACGGCCTTCATCAACAAGGTCAGCCGGTTGGTCAACTCGGAGTTGACCATCTTAAGGTTGACGTTCTCTTGACGGAGCGCCTGAGCTTGTTTCACGGTTTCCTTCAGATAATTCGTCAGAACGGCGTTTTCCCGGTCCATGAGTTCCTGTTGCTGACGCAGGGATCGTGACATCATCAGCATCATTTCCGTTTCCGACGTGAAATCTCTGCCGTCGAAGTGGTGATTGAGAAACAAGGATTCCGATGATGATGATTGGGGGATGCCGCCATGCAGTTCGGTTGAAGTTAGATTTTCGTTTTCCATAATATTCTTTCTTTTCTTTTTTTGTTTCTAATAAAATAAATAAAGGGGTTAAATTAAGTAGCAGAGAAATGCATGAAATGTGAGAGAGGGAGGATTCTGAGAAATTGACTGTGGAATTGTCGGAGAAGAAACAAAGGTATTTATAGAGCGCGGAAAGAAATGTATACAATTGTGAAAGGGGCAGTTTCGGTAGTGTGGAAATTAAGGTCGGTTTGTTGGTTTATTTCCCGCAAAAAGGCATACATTTTGGATCTTAGTTTCAAACTTTCAATTGTAAGTCCTACTAATAAAAAATAGTACTTCATTTCGCCAAAAAAATACTCCCTCAGTCCCAAAATTATTGTCCAGTTTGAGATTTCACTTTTAGTACAAATTGAACTAGAAATGAAAACTTAAACTGGACAATAATTATGGGACGGAGGGAGTATTATTTATATAATTCATATTATTATTGCTGATTCTTTAGCAGCCTTGAAGAGTGAAGAATGGGATGGGAGATTGACATATCTGTGGATAGTCCACGATGTAATTGAAATTACATAATCCCGCAATGTAATCATGTGATTATTAGGTTTATTATATCTCCTCTAATTTCATAATTAAAAACAATAAAAGTACAACTATACAGGTACAATTTACAGAGCACATATGTTTTATATTATTTGGCCAAAAGAATAGAATATTCTATTTTCCCACCTAGTATTATATTTTGTTCTTTTCTCTGTTAAAATAAAATTCAGAGACAACAGTTATTAAATTTTCACGATCAATTAAAATTCAGAGTCGAGTCCTTGTATCAACTGCAAATATAAATCACAAATTTTATAAGATATGTTGGGAGTATGTGTTGAATAATAAAAATGGGAAACTGAGAGCTAGTTTCCATATACTATAAATTTAAAATAAATCTCTGCGATAAAAATTCATAGGAAAAAAAAATAAATCTATACATATGCATGTGAGAAAGAAATACGTTCTTATTAATTTAAATTAAATGATCTTATTATAAATTTTCATTTGACCGATGAGGGGTTCCATCAATTAGTCTCAGTTAGCATGACCAATAAAATGGGAGGTACACTACCTCATAACCATAAATTTAAATGTGTTGATTGTTCTGAATATAATTGTTTTAAGACCGAAAATGCACTGCTTACTAACACGCACGTTGTCTCTAACGCAAAGTACTACCATAATTTGGACTACTAGAATTGCGTAGTTGGGAAGATTAAAAGCGGATGGTGATGGTGGGATTAGGCAGTTCACAATTCTATTTTATTTTTGTTCATGAATGAAAATAGACTTTGGTTGTTCGAAAGCTCTTTTTGTAATGCAAATTGATTAAGACAAGTACCCTTTTAAGTCATTTGGGGATGCCCCTATGGAGATGATGATGCATTGATGGTTTCTTAGCTATGGAAATGGTTTGCTTATCTATTACACCTTTTAACTAACAACAACAGCACACACACACACACACACATTCAATTTTAATTCTTCAAATCTCCAATCACAAACTTGAAAATCATCATATATTTGTTTGGTAAAACCCCACATTTTCATTTTGCCCTAAGCAATCACAATCTTTATAATTTGGTATGTCATAGCTGTTATGTTTAGCTAGCATTATAATAACATACTACTACTTTTCACTGACCTTTACATCAATGTTTTAACTTCCTCTCTTTTCCACTATTTCAACATCATAAACATTTCCTTGATCTGTTTTTCATTTCTTGATTTGCCTTTTACTTCCTCCATCCAAACAAAGAGACTTCTTGTTTGTTGGAAAGGAAAATGTATGGTGAAATACAAGATCGTAAAATAGTTTCTTTTCCTTTGGTTTGTGCCCTCCACATAACTTTTAGTCTTTTAGTGTTGATTGAGGAAAAAACAAACTAAAAACCATCAGGTTTTCTTCAGGTGAAATCCTAGATGGATAATCTCATTACCAAGACAGAACATAATAGTAATAAGTAATCACAACCACCAACAGAAAGAAAAGGTAAAATGTCACCATCTCAAGATGTCATTGATCAGAAATCCAGCACTATGATATGAATCAAGGGGTACATTTGATGCTATAAGAGCCTGGATATATAGATGTAGCTCATAATTTGTACTCAAGATACTATTATAGACTTTACAAGAATAGAGAGGATAAAGAAATTTCAAATATCATTAAAATCCAACGTTTCTGACTTCCAATTTGTAATGTACAAATAAAGCATTACCATGTCTTGACAATGTACACTCTGTACCTGTAACAGTAACAGATTCCTAGTCTTGAGTCTTCACAAGTTGATCCCCGACTTTACATCAGATCTAGCTTTCCGATACCTGGATTGCTTCTCAGACCTTTAATATGTAAATAACAAAGCCCGTAAGGAGTAAGACAAATTGATCCCACAAGTGCACCCTAAAAAGATGTTAAAAACTCAAAAAATGTATTCCCTCTGTCCAAATAAGTAGTCCACATTGAGTTAAATGTCTGGACTACCTTTTGGGATAGAGGGAATAATATTTTGCCTTACAAATGTCTGGACGAGAGGAAGTGCATACCTGCGGACCTTCTTCTTTTCTTTGAATTGCATTGCGCCATTTTGTTTAGTATCTGCAGATGTATTCTCCAAATCAATTGAATTATTGCTATAAAGATGTTGTCTCATGTGCTCAGGCAATTGTCCACTGTCCAGGTGTTCTGCACTTAGCCTCGAAAAGGAGAAGGATAAATTCGAGTAAGATGGCTGCATTGAAGGACTGTTCATGGTCACAGAGAAATGATTAACATTGTCAGAAGACTCAACGTCTTTCTCAAGAGTATCCGAATGGGATATGCAAATTGAAGAAGCTGCTGAAACATCCTGGCATGACAAAGAAAATAATCACATTAAGGAATAATAATATCAAAGGACAATCGTATTCTCTTCCCACTATCAAATTTAATAGAACCACAATGCAAACCTCTACTGATCTTTCATATCCATTATCTGATTTGTCTATGGACATATCCTTGTCCAAGGAGGAGCATGTAGCATCCTCATTAAGCAGGGCTCTGGCAAGCTCTTGCTCACCTCCAAATAGTTCTTCAATATTTGTGAATGTTGGATCAACATCAGGCATGCTAAAATCATCATTACATCGTGCCTCATCACAAACTCCAAGATCTTGCATATTTTGAGTCCATAGCTGCAAATTTGAGTAGTGAAAATGCGTATACGGTTTGCATAGTGAAAACTTAAATCAGCAATTGCAAGCAACACTTTTAAAGAGTGGTATACCCTACTCATATACAAAAAGGACAGCTAATGGCACAAAAATTGCTTCTTGCCTACAGAACTATAGCTAGAAAAGCACCAGCACCTCTAGGAAATAAATTCATACTTCAAAAGCATTCTGAAAGTTGAAAGGAAATTGATAACAGAACCTGTCCACTCTGCAATGGACTTTTGCATTGCCAAAATGAGTCCCCATCCATCTGGGAAAGAACAAAAGGAAAAGCTTCTGCACTAGGCTTCTCATAAGAGCTTTCCAAATCACGCAGATCAGAATCCAGATCTGTGGAGTGCTGGGATTGCTGATTAACATTCACATGCAGCTGACCTTTAGAGTTGTGCTTGAATGAAGACACATCATTTTCCTCTTGGCATATTACGTAGGAAGAACTAGCACCGCCCTGATTCTGCTGAAGCCTTCTCAAGTCAAGAATCTGCTGCCAAATCTGGCCTGCATTGTCCTGCTGGTCAGGAGCCTGCGAATCACATGTTAAGAAAGAATTGATAGTTATTATACTGTTCTTGAAGAACTTCACTTCAGAAATGTGGAAGAAAGCTAAGATTGAAATCATAATCATTCTCAACCTTATTCAACGCCATAATCTTAAATGCATGAAAGTCCATCTCATACTTACACTTGCATAAGATATCTTATGGTACTCCCTCTTTGATCCCACTTTCGGCAATTTGATAACACTGGAACTCACTTCAGAAACAGATGAACCGCCTGATCCCGAACTAGACCTGTTCAACGTGGTCATCCCTGTGTCTATTGTTGCACTTGTGGTGGGAATGAATTCATCTTGAAAATAAGTTTGATCTTCCAGCTCATTCAATTCAAAACCCCATAACGCTGCAAAATCCTTGGCAGAAGGGCATCCCATGTAACAACTTATCACCTTTCTCTGGTGTTGGGAGGATGGATCATGCTGGCTGCGATTGCAACCGTGGCACATAAACATCCTATGATCAGAACATTGAACAAAAGCAGGACGGTATCTGCATGACTCGCAGACAAGGGTCCGAGGATGCCGGCTCGAAAGAGCATTAGCTGAATGAACCTTAGCATCACAGGACAGGCAAAGATGTGCCGCATCTGCCTTACAGTACACAATCGGCCTTAGATTCAAACAAAACTCGCAATTTTTCCCCAACTCCATGCTTTCCAACAGAGTCCAAAACACAAACTCTCAACTGGACAAATTCCAAGGGACTTCTGCAGATGATTTCCTATCAAACAGAGCATTCATCACACTCTTGACTCTTGTACCAAAACATGCATTCATCAAGTTCAACTTAAATACTCAGAAGAACCAAATAAACCAAAATTTCGTAAATATTGTGCCTCCGCCTAAATTCAAGTAAGGCTTTCACTTTTCACAACTTAAAGATCGAGTCTTTATTCTTAATACCAGCTTCAAGAAGCTCCCAAATTATCAGATCAAAAGTTTGGATTCAAAACCACTTAGTGCCTTGAGACTATTAATCAGGTTTGATTCTAAATTCATCTCCGATCAAAGTTTCATGATTAAAGAAATGAGAATTTGCTTAGCTACCTACCAAACAAAAATGAATATCATGCATTTCAAAAAACAGAGAGATTGGACAGTAATCTCCAAAACAAAGACAACCCAGAAAACTAACCGACAACAATGAGAAAAACCCCCACCAAAACTTGCAGAAAACATCAAAATTGAGCAAAAACAGCCAGTCTGCCACCGTTAACCAACCTGCAAAACTGGTTGAAGTTTCTCTGAATCAGCTACCCAAAAAAAAAGGCCCTTTTCGTGAGTTCATTCAACATAAAAAGTGAATATTATAGCTGTGAAAAAGTCACAAGATTGAGTAGGCCTAGCTTCATAATTCATTAAAAACATCAACTCTTCAACTGTGACTGGTAATCAGCAGCAGCAATTTTCTTTTCTCTTTTTCTTTTTTTTTTTTTTTTGTTTCGGTGTCAACTTGTCAGCATGTCATAACATCTGTTATCTACTTTTTCCCCTTATGATGATGGTGGGAATGGGTTCTCTTTCTCTCTATCTTTGAACTTTTTGGGATGAGGTGGCACACCGAGGAGTGGGTCTATCCCACGTGGACTCACACACGTCATACCGAACCCGGGCCCACTTTACGTTATCTCGGTTGCATGTGAAGTTCTTCGTGTGATCCATCCGTTGGTCGTCAGATCCAATCAGCAGCTGCCACGTCCATGCAAAGATTTACAGATGACGGCTCATCTTTCTGAAGAAGCATGGGGAACCGGGTTTCATGTCTGATGAAGTGGGTGACACACCGTCATTGACGGCCCATACCGCCGATCACAATCCTTGCCGGACAAAATTTCTATATTTAGTAAGTCAAACATTGACCGTCCTTGATTTACTTTGAAACAATTTCTAAAATAACGGCCGACAAATAGGCCATGAAATTCACTCAGGAACAGCTGAATATCAGAATGTGCCTTATGACAATAAAGAAAGATTGACCCCAACTTGCTGAAGATCAGAATTCGGAAATCATAAAAAAAATTCAGGCAGAAAGAAGGTAATGGTAATACCGTCACTTTTAACAAACTTTGATGTTTCATTAAGCAGCAACATATACTCCACACATCACAGTTATACGACTTTACACAAGAAAGAACAACGCCTGCATTGATAGGCACTAATTACAAGTCCAAAAAAGGCAAAAATACTTCATTAAAGTCGATGAAAATGGAGGAATGTTGAAGCGATCTCTTTGACAAGGAAATATCCTAAATTCTACGTACTATTTTCCAACGCAAAGCAACTATTCCTGAGTGCTAATGTCATTTCCAAAAGGACCAATCCTACTATACAATTGCACAGGTAAAAGAACTACAACAGAGGGAGAGCAAAAACAGGTCCTTCAAAACACAATTCAATCTGCCACAACCCTGAAATTAACAATACAAATTAGAGGGTCAGACCACAAGTGTAGTACAGGGGTAAAGAAAACCGATGCAAGAATGCACAGGAGTGATGGTAGCCACAATTCAAATAGTGTTAACCTCACATAGCAATGCATATAATGCCACTGGGAATGACAAATTGTGGTTTGCTTGCTCTGCAATGCAAAGCTTTAGAAATAATTCTTCAAAATAGGGCCAAAAGTTTACTAATACAGATGAAAGAAAGAAGGCTTATAGCTCCAAATAGTAGAGTCAGCTTTCGGTCATATGAATTTGCACAATTATAAAAAATGCAGCTTTTTACATTTTCAAAATAAATTGCTTTCCTCATGCAAGTTTTCAAAGGAGAAACTAACAATTAGACTACTCTTGCAGATGCTGCAAGTTAATACACCCACTCTCAACCTCATCAAAAAGTACAGTGTATGCAGATGGATCCTGTTATCTCAACCTATCTTTTTTTTGGGTAAATTTTCTCGTGCTCATTTAAATGAGTGACATGACTGACAGGTTAAAGAAATTCACCTCAATCACTTTGTTTTCACATGCACTTCGATAATTTCATTTTCCTCCATCTCAAGAGCAGCGGGGGTAGCCTTTGGACTAACTTTATCCCCATCAAATACAAAAACTAAGCTCTGCAAATCAAGCTCGACCTTCTCGGCAAACTTTTTGAAAACCTTCTCTAATGGATCATCCTGCATGATTAAGGAAACTCTCTTTTGTAGAAGAAAACTTGGGCAATTATTATTGAATATAGTATCATGCAATCGCCAATAAATACTTTTTGTCACTGACACAGCAAATAAAATATCGTCAAAATAACAATCAGCCTCCCAAAGATAACCAAGAATAACATCCGCACATACAGCAGACTTCATCACAATGAAGAGAGGAATGAAGGGAAAAAATGAAATTCGAGACAATTCTCATTGTAACTCATTTTAAGATTACGAAAGGATTAGGTTCTTCAAATTGGATGCGACTAAAGCTCAACCTCATAGCCTGAAGACCGACAATTATAGGCTTGCTAATGGAAATTAAATTTTTACAGCAAAGCAAATCAGGGGCTGGACATTTCAACTTGTAGGAAGATAAGATCACTTGTCAACCTTTTCAGATTCCAAACACGTCAAGTTATACCTGATGTACTTAAGAATTAAATGATTTGGCAGAAATACAAAAAATCTGTTGCCGTGTTCGTCTTACTTTCATATGCTGGATATTAGCAAACTTTCATGGCCATACTCAATTATTAGCCAGCAGCTGAAGTAAAGCTGAATTGAGAATTTGATAAGTTTTTCAATAGATTTAGAAAGAACAACAAAATGGCATGAAAGTCATGTCATGATCCAAAATGCTTGAAGTACAGCCTAAAGAGGGTCACAAAATTACAAACTATGAACTATTTAATTTCAAAGTATTACGGAAAAGTCAACTTAAGAAAAGATACCTTGAAAACTCTATATTGCGTTGGTCCATTCTGGTCCTGGAGTGAAATAACAATTTTCGGTCTGTCATCGGAATCCTTCGATGGCTGTCCACCAGATTTTTTAGGAGGTTGCAGTGAGGCGTCTACTTCATCTTCCATAGATTCTGCAGCAGCAAATTCACGTTTCACTTGTTCCTCAACATTTCTTAAGACTTCCTCTGCTGATTTGGCAACTGATGCCAACTCCTGCCTCCTTAATCTGGCATGTCCATATATGCACATCCACTAGGTGAAATAAACAATAGAGGAGAAAAAGAAATAGGGGGTAGAAAATACAGTTTAGTCATATAAGTTCACAAACTAAGACAACAATAGACTTTTATTCCGTCCTGTGTTCACTACCGGAGATACGTTTCAGTTATCAACCTTGATGGTCAACTTATTAGATCAAAACATATACCAATGCATTACTACACTAGACAATGGAAGTGAACAGAATGATTTAGAAAAGAACATTAGAGACAGCTCAATTAGGAATAAATACCTCAACTCTCTTCTAGTAGAATCCTCAGTGACAGTTGAAATATCATTTGTTACTTTTGGGGATGGAGGAAACCAATCTTCATCATCACAATCAATTACAATAGAGGCTGCCTTTTTACCATCCTTCACAACCTACCAATTTTTATAAAACCAACAAAACCCACCTCAAAACACAATCGCAATTCCAAAATACAGCTAGAAAAATCACCCTTTAATAAAAAAAAAAAAAAAGTAAAATAAAAATTAAAGAATAAAAGAAAGGGCTTACAGCAGCAGCATCAATTATCTTTGGCTTCTTCTTACAACCCACGGGAGGACAGTCCAAAGGATCATCTAACAATTCAAAGTGAAAACAATACAGACAAAATCAATAAGCGCAGAACCCACCAAGAAAATGTGTACAGAAAGGGTTGAGAGAGAGGTTTACCATCAATTTCAATAGTGTTGAAAGGCTGAACACGACTGTAATCGAAAAGGGGTTCCAGTTCTTCTATTTCTTCAATCTCAACCTGTAACAAATTCATAGGTCAGGAAACAAAATTGGCTGCATTCCGAAATTCAGAAGCATATAAACATGTTTGAAAGTCGATAAAATGAGGTAACGAATTTCACCCTGGCCGATTTCTTCATTCTCTTTCTGCAAAAAATTCCAAAATTTTGGCGGCTTATCTTCAGGTAGTACTGAGAGTCGCTTCTTCAGGGCTTCGTTTCGTTTGAAATTCGTAATTGTGAAAGAATTCCCCAATGCCGTTCCTCCTTATTTGATTTCGGAATATTTATTACTCGCCCCCGCAATCTTGTACTACCATGAGTTCTTTTCCAAATATTTATAGTAAATAGTATTTTGATCCCCTTCATTTATTTATTTATTTTTTTTTTTTTGAGTCACATGACCTTATGGTAGAAAACAAAGCATTCTGCCATTAGAGCACCATTTGTTTCAATTTGGAAAGGGATTCTAGCTGTTGTTTCATGATTTCAGGGAGAAACTTGTAATACTTCGGTTACATTCTTTTGAGAAAGCTGCAGCACTAAAAGTTTTTCACTGCTGAAACATCTCAATTCAACTGATAATGAGTTGATGATGAGACAAAAGTATGACTAGCCTTCATTGCAAATCCATTTAAGTACCATCCATAAGAATACAGGCAACATCAGTATATTTTTATATTCTACAACTACAATGCGTCAATGCCTATGAAATGTTCGATCTATATTTCAGTTGTCTATGTTGGTAATAGGACCTTTGAACCAATGCCGGGCACTGAAAACCCACGACGAAACAGTAATTATAAATAGTCCCCCTACAGCAACAGGGGTATAGTTGAGTGTTTGATCAGTAATGGGATAAGCAACTGGCAAGGAGAACAGGACACTGATGGTAGCCACCCACAAAACTGCAATCCAACCAACAAGTTCTCCAAAACGCCCCAAATTGAAAGGCCCTGGGATGAAAGATTTCCGAGCCAAGGTTACCCGAAAAAAGATCGGTAGGGCATACGCGATATAGAGTCCAATAGTTGCTATGGACACCATGGCTTGAAATGCTACTAAGCTTCCAAGAGACTGCAGAGACCATAATATAAATAACTGAGAAAGGAAAAGAAGGTTCTATATCTTTTCTTTGTTTTTGAAGGTGAGCCCATCTGTTATCATCGTTGAAGTCTAATGTATGACAAAGACAGAAAACAAAGAAACTCCACATACATTAAGTGAAAACCTCAAGATTAGTGCTTCATGATTCCCAGCCCTATCAAAGAAAAAATAAAGAATAAAGGACATACCGTTAGTGCCATGCAGAATGCTATGAAAGCTGACAACCAAACTGCATTTAGAGGAACCTCCTGCTTGTTCACCTTATGCCAGAAGGACGACAAAGGCATAGCCCCATCTCTAGAGAAAGCATATGCCATCCTGCGGACATGGTATAAATTTTAAGCAATGAATTTTTACTTTGAAGAAAAAAAACTGTGAAGAAAGCAGTCAGTTTACCTTGAATTACTTGTGATTGAGCTCATACCACAGAAGTATATAGCAACAGCAACTATGCCCAAACATACAATTCCTCCAACTCCACTGCCATATCTAATTTTGAATACTTGATAGAATATTTGAGCAATGGCATAACCACCAGCGTCATTTTCTTGGTTCAAAAGATTGGGGATGTTTGTGACAGCAAATGTGATGCCGAGTATATAACCCCATCCAACAATTATAGATATTCCAATGGCACTTATTATTCCCTTTGGCCCATTTTTATCAGCACTCTTGGTTTCCTCTGACTGGAAGCAGAAGTTTCAAGGAACTAATTAACAATTTGGTGGCTTACCAACATTTAGAAGGTATTATCAATGATAATGTCAATATGAATGTGTGAATACCGGTTATTCAATAGAATATGAAATGAACTAAAACAAAGTGAGGGATAGATAAGAAAATGCAAGAACCATGTATAAGGTGGTTTTGACAGATGCATACAAAGCCTTTACGGCTTTCAATGACCCGTTTAGCATGCGAAAAGAAAACTTTTTTAAAAAAACTCATAGCAGGCTTGAAAATAAACCATTAACAAGGACATGAAACTTTTGAGCTTAGGTTAGAAGATGCATATGGATAGAATACGACAAATCAGTATTTCTTCCAGCATTTGAATTACTGAATAGGTAGCAAACAACGTCAAATGTAAGATCACAAGCCATTTAAAGACTAAGCCGCAGTAAGCTTAATCATTGGGCAAAAATTGAAGAGTTGATGCAGATTAATTTTTGTTCATTGATTCTCCAATCAACAGTTTGATAAGAAAATATGAAGAGGACTCATGGTAATACGACATATTAGAAAAACATTTGCTTCATTCCTATGCATTATGACATAGAACCACGGCAAATTAAATAGACATACACCAAAAAGTTCCCAAGAAACTTCTAATTGTTACCAAATAGAGTTTGTCATGTTCATCAAGGGAAGTTAAGCATATTGACTAAAAATACAGTTAAAAATGGTAAATGATTTACCATGTGGGCAGATGCATCATATCCAGTTAGTGTATACTGGCTCATGAGAAGTCCTAGTATAAATATGTATAATTTACTGTGGATTCCTACTCCATTGTCGGTGTTGAAGTGGGTAAACACAAACTCAGGACTGGCTTTTTCAGTTGCAACGGTTGGAATGACAATCATGAGAACAAAGACACCTGAGATCATGGAACAAAAGATTATCTTCTCAGACACTCGGGATTCATGGGAAAAAGTCATGTATCATTTATCATGGTTACTTACCCAAAACATTCCACGCTGCAGCAAGCTGCCCAAAAAATGATAACCACGAGATGGGAAGACTGTTTAAAATAGCATGCGACAGCAAAATTGCACCGTGGATAGCAATAACCACATATTTAGATGCCACATATCCACCCCCAGATTTTCCACCAGTACTTAGGAGGATGATCACTTGAATCAGCTGGGCAAGTGAAAAGTCTACACTGGTTGTTACAGCCCACTACAAAGAGAAGTTTCTTCTAGTCAGACATTTCAATATTGTAACTCTAGGATGAAGAAGTTTAACCCAATTCTAGAGTGAAGTTTGAACTGCTGAGTTGTTTTCCATGAATACCTGACCAACAATGTTGAACCTGTAAAAGACATAGTTCTGAATTTCAATACGCATGGAGACCAATTCGAATAAACACATTGCTATTTAAGAACCGCAAACACTATCTTATTTTAAATTCACATGATGATTTCCTGGCTACTCATATAAATCAAAACTACTGATCCCAGAAGAATTAATTCTCCTTAGATGCCGGGGAAAGTCTAAGAACCCGCCAAGAGGCTTTTCAAACTTTCAAAGTCATTAAGCACAATGAAACTCCATAATTGCTCATACTATTGCAATCACCCCAAAAATGGTATGCATGATAGATTAAAGGAAAAAGTGACACCAGAAAAAAGGAAGCAAATCTGGAATAGTAACTATCAATTGAGCCTAACATTTCCGTTGAAAGAGTATATCCTCTCAATGTAATTGACACATTCCTAAAGACCACTAAATTAAAGACCACAAAAATTCAGACCAGTTATGATTACCAGCCAGTAATCCATGATGCAAAGGCTGCCCAGCTAGGGCCAGCGAGTTTAGCACTCCAATAATAGAGTCCCCCAGAGGTAGGATAAGAAGAACATATCTCACCCATGGATAATCCCACAACCATGGTAAAGCAACCGGCAATAACCCATCCATAAACCAATGAAACCGGACCACCAAAATTTAGCCCAGTATTATACAGTGTCGTCACACCAGTCAACACTGATATAATCGAAAATGAAAATGCGAAATTGGATAACACCCTGCAAAATCCATCCGGATAAACCAAGACCCAAAAAAAAAAAAAAAAAATCCCAGTTCAGAAAAATCAAGAAATAAACAAAGGGTTGTCAAAAAAACTCGAAAAATTCAGCTGAGAATCGATTACGAGAGGTCACGCTTGAGTTCCTGCTTGTATCCGAGCTCATGCAAACGTGCATGTCCTGAATCAATGGACGGATTCCGGCTATCTTGAACATACTGAGGAAGGACTTTGCTATTATCCCCACTATTCCACTCCATGTTGGAGATAATCACAAACAGGGGGGAGAGAGAGAACTGGGATGTGAATTGAATTCAGGTATCAATGAAGAAAGGAAATGAAATGGATCCTGTTCACACACTTATATACTTGTAAAAGTCTCAATTCCTCCTCAGTTGCAGGAGATGTAATAATTGAAAAGTCTGTGCTAACTAATCTGTTCTTTTGATTTGATAGATTCCGTGAAAGGACTATATGAATAACTAATTAATAAAATCCATCAAAAGCTTGCTTTTTGCGGAGCAAGATGGAAAATTTTGCAAAGTGTTTCAACTTTCAATCTTTTGGATTGATTGATAGTCTTTTGTTTTATATTTCTTACCTTTGGGTTTTGCAAAGACTGAAACGGAATCATATGTTTTGTTTGGTCAAATGGAACGCCAGCGAGAAAAGTCAGACAAGACAAATGGGATTATAAATAAATATAAGGACAAAGTGGGCCCCGACATGCCCACATGTAATTCCATTTCTTTTAGAATTTCTTTTAACCAAAACGTTTTATTTTGAAAAAATGCAGGCTTTGCCAATACGAAAGCTCATATAAATCACTAAAATCAGATTAGGAATTTTGGTGCTAATTTGTCAAATCTCCATGGAACCTATGAGATTGATTCAGGGATGACAGAGTATTTAAAAGATGTTGTTCACCAATGATTCTTTGCATACCGAAACATTTTGTCCAAATTTTACATCATCTTAAAAATAAATATACATAACAAAACTAAGTAATCATATTGGAACCAAACTAATACTCCTGTCCCAAAATTATTGTCCAGTTTAAGATTCATTTTTAGTACAATTTGAACTAGAAATAAAAACCCAAACTGGACAATAATTATGAGACGGAGGGAGTATTAATTAGTCACCCTATCAACTCTATCACCACATTTATTCAAGGGGAAATCTGGCCTCAAAATCATGCAACTGTCCAAAGATGTATGATCCCCAATTTAAAACTTGGATGCGCAAATAAAATGTGTAGAGATGTTAGCATTGGACGATTGCTCATCATTGATAGGCATGAATCCAACGGTTAAATTCTGGCCAAGTCGTCAAAAAAATCTGTATATCCGACGTTCATGATTGCTCAATATCATTCATAAAAACACTAACCCACGAGCTGACCAGCTAGATTCATCAAATGAATTAAATTAGGACATAACCTATTCGTTTGTCCCAAAAAAATAAAAAATAAAAAAATAATTCAATCTTTAAACTCAATATGAATTATTCTCCTTGTCCCAAAATCATTATCCAGTTTACATTTTTACTTTTAGTTCAATTTATACTAAAACAAAAAAATCTAAACTGGACACTTATTTTGGGACGGAAAGAGTATTTTTTTAGAACAGAAAGAGCATTATTTAACTCGCTCCCTAATTCAACTCAACCCACATAATTAAATAACTCGTTGCACTTATGAATCCAAAAGTATTCCTAGAAGTCTGCTTCTATATATGCGCCAAAGGTACCTCCTTCATATTTTTATGGGAAAAGTGGACTATGATTCAGCATGAAAACACAATATTTTTATGTACCCAAGGAGAAGAGGTTATCTTTTGGACTTCTATGTTAATTATTGATCCATAGATATTAAACACATGACAAAATCAATGGTGAAAAGACCACAAACAAAAATAATATTGCCAAAAAAGGCGAGGGGCCCGCAACAATACTCATAAATGTCAATGAATCTGCACATAGTAGTATATTAAAAGGAAAAAAGAGAAGGAAAATAAAGACAGCGCCCAAGAAAAAAGACCAATGATTGTTTTAATTTTATAATCAAGACGAAGAGAAATTAACAATTAATTAGTGGAATTGGGAATCAAATTTTTTTTAAAAAAAATACATACCATCCAGTCAGCCAAGAAGCAAATGGACCCCAATCATCACCAGAGAGCTTAGCACTCCAAAAGTAAAGCCCAGCAGCAGTTGGGTAAGCAGAGCAGATCTCAGCCATTGACAAGCCCACAATGAGTGTCATCAACCCAACGATGGGCCATCCGCAGACCATGGTCATGGGCCCTCCAAAAGTCAGACCCTGATTGTATAGTGTGGTTATTCCAGTCATCACTGATATGATGGAGAAAGTCACAGAAAAATTCGCCAAGAACCTGAAAAATATCATCAATCACAAAATCATTGAAAATGAGAAAATATAGGGAAGTAGAATAGTATGATTGTAATCATCGATTGAGGCTGTTCTCCCATTTTTTCTTCAATTCTGGAGGAATCCATCCCGACCCATTCCCATTTCCCCAACAAAAAACTATCAAAGCAGTTTGATATCATGAAAATCTGAAGCAAATTGAGAATATAATTTGTGTACTTACGAAAGTCCACGGCTGAGTTCTTGTTTGTAGCCCAATTGTTTTAACCGAGAAGAATCATTTGGGAAGAAATCTTCAACCCCACTGCCCGCTTCAGACTCGCCCAGAGGATAATAAGGCCCAGCAGAAGAAGCTCCAACTCTGTGATCTTCCATTATCGTCCTCCAACAATTTGGCCAAAAACCCTTTTTGATTCTCCACGAGTAGCTTCTGTGTATGCTGTTTGTCTGACAGTCGGGAAACTGGAAGAAGAGTAGAAGGCCAATTCAATCGAAGCCACTGAAATGAGTGAGTCAGAGTCTTCAGTGATGGGAAAAAAAAAACAGAGGAATCTCGGTAGGCTGATTTGATTTGATCTGCAGTTTACGAGTATCTTGTTGGGTTGTTTATTTTTAATGCATTGCGTTGAGGACTGGAGAATAGAAAGAAAAAGGGATCCGAAACAATTACAGAAATGCGGGATTCGTGAAAGTGACATTATTTACTCCTTCCGATACAGAGTTGGTTGAATTATTGGTGAGAAGTTTCGGGTCACGTATTTGTAAAGGATTCGGTGAAACGATGTTATTGCAATAATGGTTATTCACCCGTCCCAAAATTATTATCGGATTTCAATTTTATGTTTAATACAAATTGAATTGAAAATAAAAATTTAAATTGGACAATAATTTAGGACTGAGAAAATATAATAATTACTTCTATTCATGCCACAACCCATTAAGATTGGACTGTACTATTCAATCAAAGAGATTATATCAGTTTACACCCGATACATGTTAGATTGATGTGTTATTTCTTTTGGTTCCTTGAGAAGGATTATTGTCCTAATAAAGATGGAATATGAAATAATTTTGTCATCTAGATACAGTAAATATATATACTCGTTCTGTTTCAAATTAATTATTTTATTTGTTGTATTAAATAATAATACACTTCATTTTGGGAAAGACAAAAGGACTTATGTGGATTAAAAATTGTGTTTGCAGACTTTCGGACTTTTGGCAATATAAGATTTTGGAATATGGTGATTATTTTAAGGATTCTATCAGGGACTCTTAACTAATTCAATGCTCAAGAGATACTAATTCCCGTTTGTTATGAATTATGATGTTTTGTGATCAATTAATTATCCCAAAACTTAGAACCTCTGCTTTTGTTGCTTTTGTGTTCCCTTCACACTTCTCAGGTTCAAGTTCAAGTTCTACATTGTTGGTCAGGTTATAATAGGAATGAAATGGGTATCTTTAATTTTTCATTGTTTCCTGATCAGGTTTCTTAATCTGTTGTTTCATTTCCGTCCATTTGGGCAATGTTAGACGTCTGCTAAACAGTCCTTACCTTAACACTTGTATTTTCAGTCAGAGGAAACCAAGGTTATGTTTGTTTCATTTTTTTAGTGTGTGTTTTTAGGTGTTTTTTGTATTTGAATTGTAAAAAAATGTATTAAAAATATAAAAAAATATGCTGGGATGGGACAGTTAATATTTAATTATTTTGAAATTACCATAAAAAAACAAACCAAACAAAGCCCCAGAGTGCATATAAGAATGCTCCACAGCCCAAAGGGAATAATAAGTGCTATTGGATGTGGTTATCAATAATTGTCGGATGTGGTTATATACTTGGCATCACTTATGCTTTTACATATATAAGTACATGAGTTCCAGCTCAAAACCAATTAACAATTAGCGGAATAAGCTACAGACTTATATATTGATATCAAGTCGCTCTCACTACGGATGTGGGATACTCAACATTACAAACATCCCAAATCTTTTGAACCCGGACATTGATGCCGGTGGTTATGCCATTGCTCAAAGTATTCTATCAAGTATCCAAAAGTAGATGTGGCAATGGATTTTGGTGGAATTGTATGTTTGGGTATAGTTGCTGTTGCTATAGTCTTCTGTGGCATGAGCTCAGTTACAAGTAATTCAAGGTCTGCAAACACTTTTTTTTTTTTTTCTCTTGTCAAGCTAACTTCTTCATCTATATAACCAAGACTTCCATTGATGAACCAGATGAATTTGTTATCAGGATGGCTTATGCATTCTCAAGAGATGGAGCTATGCCTTAATTTGTCTTCCATCTGGCACAAAGTCAGCAAGAATGAAGTCCCCCTAAATGCCGTTTGGCTTGGCTGTCTGCTTTTGTAGCATTCTGCATGGCTCTTACGGTACGAACCTCTCAATTTTTCTGCATTCTTACACTAGTTTCCTGGTACCATTAATCATGACTAGTTAATATCGTGATTGGACCTCTTGACTCATTGCCGAATTGGCTTTGAGCTTGAGGTTTATATCTCTTTAACTAGACGAATTGAGAGAGAATTTGCTTGCTTGTTATCTTATTCTACGTACCACCATTGTATCTGCAAGTCTATTGAAAGTTTAGAAGCATTTCAAGCTATTGTTATCCGTGTTGAACTCGAATTGGAACTCAACCCTTCAGAAGTGAATTTGACTATCAAATGTAATTTAAGTGTCAGATTCAAGTCCTGTTTCTATGTTTTAACTTTCCCTTTTGGGCATTTCAAAAAGAGAAACTTTCCCTTTTAAGCAAAGTTAAAAAAGAAAAAAGAGTAGTACCATTTGCATGAAGAGGACAAAATTTAAGAAGAGAAACTTTCAAAAACTTCACTATAATATTTCCTTTCCTTTACACTTTGTTGGGATAACATCATAACAGTGTTGTGGAATCCTTCCCATGGTTTTATAGGAAGAAAAAATAAATCAAGAATTATTCTATCATACACCAATAATACAGAAAGCCAGCATAGAATAAGCCTTATTTTTTAGTCCAAAATGAACAAAAAGTAATTGATTGTTTAACAAACTTCTTGAAGGAGCAGGGATGAATTTTGAGCCCTCGTTGAAACAACTCTCTTGTACATTTCCACCACAACTCTACTATCCACCATCTCATTTGTGGGAGCAGACAACATCGGAATCGGTCGCGATTTCGCAACCCTTTTGGCTTCATTGTTGACATGATCAATCCTTTTTGAACTTGCCAAACGCACCATTGCATCAATGTAAGCTTCATGTAACCTTGCCGCAAGCTTCAATGGAGTGATGAACCTGCTGAACCCTCTTCTCTTTGGCGTCATGGATTTGTTTCGATTGTTGTTGTTGTTGCTGCTGCTATTTTTCCTTGATCCCAAACGCACAATCTTCAGCTTCCTTTTCATCCTAACTGAATCATCCAACCTTTGATATCTCCTTCTCCTCAAGTACCTCTTTAGGCCATCAATGTATCCCAATCCAAGGATATCCATTTTTTTTTTTGGTGTGTGTTTGAGGTGTTGTATGTGTGTCTTTTTTTTAAAAAAGGAAGTGAGAGTTGTAGAAGGAATTGTTTTGTGTTGCAAAGATGATGTGAGGTTGTTGGTTTTTATACTACTGTCAAAGTTGGGATAATAAGCAATAAATGGTGAGAATTTTGACTAAGATTTGTTTAATTCTTTCACATGGGGTGCCGAATTTAATAATAATTAAAAAGCAGGGACACGGAATTTGCCAAGTCAAATGTTACATACATATTTATATGTATGTATAATTCCACCCAAGGGTACCTATATATTGACTTCTTCCATTATAAATACTGTTGCGAGCCATACTAATTAATAATGCTCGAGAAAATTGTCCTAATCTAATCTAAACAATGAAAAAACACAAAGAAATGCTGATTTTGACCTGGCATGTACAAAATCAGCTACTAAAATACTAAATCAACAAAAAGTGCTGTGACAATTGATTAAATTGACTTGGCAAGATGCCGACCCAGAGACAAAAAGAATGGGGGAAACTGAAAAGCATCTGTAAAAAAAAAGACGGAAAATAGATGTACATAAAGCCTACGTACTGGACCTTTTAAAGTTATTGAGATGAACTCTGATGTCTCTAAAACTTCTGGGCACTGTTAATTCACAATGTGAAATTAGCGAAACCCTTAAAAATTTAATGGAATTATATAATTTCAACTCTATAATTTATAGAAATCGATTCTCTCGTCTAAGTTTTATTTAGTGTCTGTTCAAATGAGAATATGTAAGTCAAGCAGCAACGTTTTACACGGTCTAAAATATAGTTGAGCTCGAGCCGTCGGGCGTGGGGTTGTTTATTTAACATTATAGACTAACTCTTATAGTCTCCGTTTTATTTACATCTGCAAGAATTTAAAATAATTCGTGCAACTTTTGTGCAATTAGTTTAATTCATCATCATATTTTTTATGATTATGACGACTAGATTAGATTATATGTAGAAATCCGAACACCTTTTCAGAAGCCCGAGTTCTGAAAGTAGATCCCTAAAATTTGACTTACAAAAAGAGTAAGGTAAACAAAGTTGATGAGCTGAGCAGTAATATTCAATCATTTGGTGTGCTACTAGCATTACATACAATCCCCCCGGAACAGCTTAAAATTGACCAAAACAATTAATTAGTGCGCTACCGTCAGTGGGAAAACAACTGATATGTAACGATAGTAGCCCAAAGAAATTTATTAACAAAAAACATACTCCTCCCTCTCTCAAAATTATTGTCCAGTTCGAAATTTTACTTTTAGTAAAATTTAAACTAAAAATAAAAATTTAAATTGGACAATAATTATGGAACGGAGAGAGTACTAAATTCTAATTTGTTTCTTCATAGTGGATGATGCGATATCTGGAGGGCTTGCACCACTCCATTTATAATAATGCATACATACCGAAATCTGTTCGCGGAGGATATTATCCCCTCTTTGCACAAACACCTCCTTTCGTAGTGATTGTGCTCCACCAGCCTAATTAGGTTGACATTATTATACACACTATAAATTGCTCCAATAAAACTTTATACTGTTAGCGTTATTCTCGTGAATAATCAATATGATTGTTTTAGTGTCCATTAACATGTGTTGTTTAGGTATTTCTGATCTCAAATTTGACTTTATTTTTTCATTTATCTCATCGATTTGTTTCACAATATGACAATATGTGTGATAAATGATGACACACATGTGAATGAAACATACGTCTACATTTCGTTTGCAAAGGATCAGAAAAAAAAAGTACACTCTTGACAAAATAAGTATAAAGTCATGTAAATCCTCATTCACCACAAACAGAATCAGCAAAAACGGTGCCTCAATAACTCTCCCAGTCTCTATGCGTCACAAACCTTTTTTTTTTTTTTTGGTAAATTTACAGTGGACAAAATTAATGGATCCGGATGCCTTTTCTTATTCTTCTTCTTTTTCTTCTTTTTTTTGTATATATATATATATATATATATGAAGAACATAAAATTAACAGTTCCTTTTGTTCATCTCAACTTTTCATCTCAATGGACAATTATTCTAACTTCTTTTGCACGTCACTGTTCTGGGCAGCACAGATAAAAGGCAAAGGATTTCCAAGTTTCGTACTCAAATTAAGGAATCAAATTTGTCAACCAAAAAAAAAAAAAAATGTCTTTCAACATGATGCGATTTTACTCATCTATACAATATTTTGATTAAAATAGTATAGTGATTTGTGATTTAATAGAAATGAAGAACATGTTACTTGAAAATGATGTTATATATACATACCATCAAATCTGAAAGATTTCATTATCAAGATGGATCACAGTCGCAGATATTAAAATCAACCGAAAAATGCAGCAGCCAGCACAAAGGCACATGCTGTGCTTTACCATCTGGCAACACACGTTTTTATTAATTTCTGGCCACGAAAATTTCTTTTTTTAAATAGACTTCTTTAAAATTAATATACTACATGTATAAAAAAATAAAATAGAAAAATAAAAATGGTGGATTTTCAGAACCCAAGAAATGCATTGCATGAGGAGATTACTTTACCAGGTAGAAAAAAATTTTAAGGTCCAAGCCCAACTTTGTGGCTCAACACAAAGCAGTTAATATGATTAAGCCCGAACTCATATTGCCAACATGCCCAGCAAATGTAACTTTGAAACGAACCGGGATAAGTATAAGACTACGTACAAAACGTCTCTACCCTACGCTCTCACCTTCTGGTGCCCATACTGAACTTTAGAACCCTTAGGGTAAGATCACTCATGAAATCATTCACAGAATCAGAAGAAAAACGAGTCTATTTGACTATTTCTACTCAAAGATGCACCAACCATACATCAAAAAGAGAAGCAAGTCAACACTAGCAAATTAGTAAACCTGAAGAAGGATATGAAACTTGGCAGTTTCAAAAACATTTCCATCAGGACAACAAAAAAAGATGATCCTACGTACCACATCTATTCACATTCCGCGGTTCTTACTTTTTTACGTGCTTGCGGAACATCATCGTCAGGGTCAACACGGTCAGAACACATGCTAACGTTTCAGTATCTTATCCTGCTTTCTAAGTCATCATATCTTGGGCTCGAATCAAGATCAGATGTTTCCATTCCCTGATGCGATCGTCCGTACACAGAATCCATTTCAGCTGGCCGTACAGTAAGATGATGCATGGCATTTGCATTTGATTCAGACTGATTGCCATTTTGTGAGTCAGCCAACATCTGGAAATATGCATGAGGACCCCAACCTGCACATCCAAGGTGAAATCGATCTTCTTATGAAACAAGGTTGATAACATAAAAGAATTTAAAGAATAAAAGAATAGATTTTTTTATCAGTTCAAGATGAAGTAGAGAGAACATTTAGTCCAGGGAAACTGTACTCTTTAATTTTTAACTAATGCTGAGGGAATAAAATCTAACCAAACAAAATCACGAAATTGTAAAAGGAGTACAATTCAGCCCAACTCAGGACACTACTCCGAGGTCCAAGTCACATTGTATACATGATATTGAGAACAAATTCATAGTAAAATCTGACTTTTTCTCATCTAAGCTCTGATTCCAAGAAGCATATATACGCAAATAGCATTGTAAATCACTTAAATGTATCATCTTATATAACAAGCAAGAGAGCAAGAAGGCCATCACATTGCCAAAAACAACGAGACTATAAAAGAATGTGCAGAAGTACCATCTACATCATACGGGGGAGGAAAAAACTGCAGGTAACAAAACGATGCAACTGTAAGACCTGCAGAGCAAAGGTTGACAGAAAGAAGAGCTCATTAAGGTGTTAACAAGATGACTCAAAAACCATAAAATTAAAAATGGAACATTAAAAAAGAGAGATCCACACTAACCAATAAGACCTCCAGCAAACACATCTTGCCAATGGTGCCAATAGTCATCAACTCGAGAAACTCCAACTAGTGCTGCAGCAAGTAATGGCAAGAAAACAATGCACAGCTTGGCAACATGGCCCCTACGATCAAACGCTCTAAGTTTCCCAGACAAGTACCATGACAAAAAGCCAAGACCAGCAAATGACCCTACAAGGTAAACCCCCATTCTTAAGATACAAAATAAACAATTACATGAAATATCTTCTTATTATTATTTCTTCACACCTTTTTGGAAAGACAGTTGCATGAAAATTGAAAACAAACAAATAGCACACAATTATGATGTTCTTATCACCACTGGGATTCACACCCAAGTCAGACAACATAACTATTTTATGTCCTCTTTCAACTGAGATCTCAAACAGTCAATCAGAAATTTGTAATTACATTGACCACGTGAAACATTTTCCTTTACATATTGAGTGGTAAATCAGGCTGATATCTATTGTAAACAACATATATTAGACTTTCAAATATCTAATCATCTTCAGCCTACAATTTATACATAGCAACTACAGCTAAGTAAAGTAAAATGAAATGAAGACTAAAAGCAAACAAAACAAATATGTTGGCTATTGGCTCTAAGTCCCCATCTCCCCTGTTGGACGCTTTCAGAACATGGCCTCTATATTAAAGAGAATACATGCATGAGCATTAATACAAGAGTTAGCAGCTTCATTTTTGGGTATGATTGTGACTGGAAATCGCTAATGGATACAGCTGTTACAAATGTATTACGTCCCTAGAGTCACCAAATAGGAAGTTCATGACAACTGCGTGTATTTTTTTATTTTTTTTATTTTTTTGTGAATAGTACACTCTAAATTGCCTTGGAAGTGATAGAAAGAAAAAGCAATTGGGATACTCTATATCCGAATAGCACAAGCGAACCTATCTATGAGTTCATCTAAACAAGTAAACTCTGTGGCTTACATAACAAGAGACTGAAAAGTATATCATAGTTCAAAGGTTAAGAAACTTATAAGCATAATGGTATCAACTTTTTTTTCTCCTTAAAGAAGTAAAGAAAATTAATGGCACTATCATTTAGTAATATTCACATACAGGAAGTATGCCCACTGGGAAAACTTTTATGGCCTTCTTTGATGACACTTCTCACTCCAGTACATCTGACATCACCTGTGACAGGATCAAACGACTGCAAATGCACATATTAGCCATTTCTATCGATTAACTCCTACATGAAGACACTTCAAAACACTTCGACAGTACTCACCCCTTTGCCGTCAGGAAAGCACCTCCAAAAGAAGTCTGGACGTGGTCGGCCAACAGCATCTTTGATGGCATCAGTTATAACCGCCGTAATAAGGACAGAAAACATAAGACCTAGATGTATCAAAAAAGTTGATCTAGTTATAGCATTGGTGATTAACTCGTTGAATATAAACAATTACTGGATAGAAAGAAATTACCCAACACAGCTTGATGCAGATCGTAGACATCCCTTCTGATGAAATAGAATATCATAATCACCGTCAAAGGCAAAATCATAGCAATGATCTGTGAAACATGAGAACACTATAATAAATTATCCGAAATTTATCGTAAAATTGAACATAAAGTGCCCACAATATCCTATCTATATCAGATTTTAGGCATACATGCAAAATAACAAAAAGAAGAATACCGGAACAGCCCAGAAAGGGATAGTATTTGCTTGCAATGGGTATTGGAGGTCTGTCATCATATTCACTCCAACAAAACGATGAAACGGTTGTATTACATTCAGACCAATATCTATCGCCACCAGTAAAAACAGAATAAGCCAATCGTGCATGTGAAATCTAGCAACTTGCACTCCATGGCTTCGTATGGTGTGAGCACCCAACTGAATCTCTGCCGGCATCTCTATATGAACCAAAAGAGACCAAGATATTCATTTATACAGAACTTGAAACAAAACAGGACGTCAATAATCAGACATGATGAACTGATTGACACTGCTGAGTCTTTGAGTGATCAAAATAATGCACTAAGAAACTAAGAAGATAACACTTTGTGTCCAAGTCTCACAAAGAAAACATTACGATATGAGAAATCCACAAATATAAATATTTAGTATTAACAATGTACTCCATTTTAACAAGAATAATGTAAATAGCCGCGATGATTCTTTTACATACAACACAAAGTTTGGAAGTAACAAGACAGAAAAGCTCATATGGCTTCTTCTTATTACTACGCCAAACAGGTTGCACACTAACAGTGAAGCTCTTGCAAGTTGAAAAGCTAAGAATTAAAGCATTTTTTCTAGCGAACTGCAGAGGCGAGAATCAACATACATAATACATATGCTACGCAACAAGAAAAAAAGAGGGCAAGAAACATAGAGAATACAGGATCTAGCAGTAGAACTTTACGAAATGAATATCCAATTACCACATTTCACTCCGGAAATTATAACTTATTCGTCACAAAATTCTCAAGCAGAATACATTAAAAGGAACAGGACTGCAAGATTTAACCATGACTGGTCAGAATATCGAGTAAACAAGTACCATTATACGACTACTACACAACAAATTGGCCGCGAACTTACCAAAATTTACTCAATAAAACACATGAAGAACTAGTTTATTTCATAGTTTCAAAAAATAAGCATCGATAGCTGAAATTGAAACCGTAGAACGCTAAAACATTCAGCTAGTTACAAAACCTCTTCACATTCTTTAACTTTAACAAAACATTGCGGTCAAATTCAGTAATGGAGAAACAAGTTAAGCTATGTCTGAAACGTAACAATGAGCACTAATACCATAATTACCTCGTTAAAAAGTAAACCAAGAGAACGAAGCAAAGCGAAAACTCACCGGCACTGCGAATATGGAGAGACGAACGACGAGCTGCTTTGCCTCTGTGCGTGTGTGTGTGTGTGTGTGTGTGTGTGTGTGTGTTCCTTTTTTTTCGTTTTTTCGTTTTTAGCGGAGATTTTTGAAATTTGAGTGAGGCTGGCTGAATATGTGTTATCTTTAAATTTAGGAAAGTTAGAGAGAGACTCTCGAAGTGGAACCCTGAAGGCGTGACCGCGTGAACTTTTTTTCAATTTTTTTTTTTTTTTAATTCTTTTGAAATAATGTTATCTTTTCTTTTTTATCTTATTGATGATAATATTCTTCTTTCTAAGTCAAAAGTTGAAGAGAATGTCCGCTGGAGAAGGACAAAAAGCGCTATAGAATATCTGTTTATATTAATACTACGCAAAGGTTAAAGGTGAAGGAACTTGCAGTGTTTTAGTTTTATCCACTTCACATCACATTTAACTCTGTTGATTTGTTAAAAAGTAAAAAAAAAAAATGTGTAGTATCTGAGTTCTGAAAGTGAAAAATGATGGAACCATGGTGACCAAACTTTTCTTGCATTGTTGTATAGTTGAACTAATCCATTTTTATGTTAGTTCAACGAACACCAAAATATGAGCGACGAAGTTGCCAGAAGAGAGATTGATCCGATCTTTCTCTGGCGGACTAACCCCAACTCCAAAGGGATCCTTCAGTGGCCATTGGAGTGGTTAACGCGGTTCCCTTAGATTACATCTTCCGGTGGACATTGGGGTGCTTGGCGCTGCAGCATTAGGTTATACACTGCATCAAACTTACTTTTCCCTTCTTTTGGGTTGTTGAAGAATACTTAGATTGGGGTATCGGGGAGTGTGATGAAGATGGAGTTGGCGTAAACAATGGGTTACAATCCACCTATCCAGCTTTACACTTAAAAGCTATATATACTAGCATACTAAAGGGAAAAGGCAAATTAAAAAACCCAACTTTGGTTCTTTTGACAACCATGCAAAGTTGGTAATTTCCATCTGCTCTTGAAATATTTGGCCTAATGTTGATTGAAAGAATAGAGCCAAAACTATTAGCTGAATAGTAAGTGATAGACATCAAAAGTTCGGTGAACTAAAACTCAATTGCTAAAGATATGCTGTCAGGAAAGCATTTCTAACTCTTACGGGTACTTGATATCCACACATATATACACATGCTGTATACACAGATTTGGAGAGGCATCCACATATGACAAAAGGCTTATCATCACAAGCTAATTACTAACAAATTAAATAAAGCGAAAACGCGATCATGGAGAAAGAAATTTACAGGAAATCGTTAATTTCTGCCTAGCTCCACATCATCAAAGGCGTCCGGATCTTGATATCTAGGTGCATCCTCCTTTAATCGGTTTTGGTTAACTACTTGCACCTCCATGGGCTGTGAGCCAATTCCATTGCTGGGCACTGTTTGTGTTGGATTTGAACGGGCCAACTCCTCAACAGCTCGGTGATATGCATAAGGACCCCAGCCTGTAAATAATATGACAGCAACAAAAGTTTGTAATACACTCCTACTAACTCAAAAGTTTTTCTTCAGTACTGGAAATTTAACAGGCTTATTTCATTTGCAGAGCACCTTAGCCAAATTCCAAATGTGGAAAAAACTAGGATTCATGTTGCATGATTCTGCAACAATGAGTCCAAGGGAATGTTTGGCCAACGGCACTATTGAACTATCACAGAATAAACATGACTACTTTTCTTTTCCTTTCACCTTCTGTAAGGGCCATTCCATTAAGTAACCACTATTACTAAACCTTCAGAAAAGTATATCTGAACTTAACCTAGAATGAAATTGGCCAATACAGAGTTTCTCTCGGCTATTGCTTGTAAGATCTTTGGTATCAACTCCAGAGTTCTTGTTAGCCACTAAAATTACCACTAACAGAATCTATACAAAACCTGTTCAATGCACATCCCATTTGCACCAAATAAGTAAAACATCAACAAAGCTCTTACCTTGCACATGATATGGAGGAGGGAAGAATTGCAGATAGCAAAAGATTGCAACAACTTCACCTTCAAAAGCAAATGATAAACATAAATCAACACAGCAACAAAATTGAAATTTCAGAACTTTATTCTACGTAAAAGTACTAGGTGACAAACCTATGAGAGCTCCAGCAAACACATCTTGCCAATGGTGCCAATAGTCATCTACACGGGAAACCGCAACAAGAGCAGCAGCAAGGAGAGGAAGAAACACAATGCATAGTTTTGCAACGTGTCCCCTGCGATCAAAGGCTTTAATTTTTCCTGCTAAGTACAGCGACAAAAAGCCTAAACCTGCAAAAGACCCTGCAAAACATCCCAACTATGTAACAAAAGCTTTGACAATGAAAAAATCGTATCTAGAGCCATTTACAATCTAGATGGCAAAGTTACACAAAACCATACAGGCTCTCGATATGGGAAAAGGTATCAGATTAGAGGGGGTTAACCAAACAGAAAATGATAAACTAAGAGACCAAACACACAATAAAGATTAATCATATTCAACAGATATTTCCTTTTCCAAATCAGCAGGAATAAGAACAATTGCTGAAGAAGCTTCAGTTACGTACAAGAAGTATGGCCACTTGGGAAACTTTTATGTCCTTCCCTTATGTCACTCTCTTTACCATGGCATGCCACATTGCCCCACTTGTCATATTTCTGGGGGAAAAAAAAACAAAGATAGTGGAAAGAAATCAGATATCTAAGAAGAATCTGATTAATGAAAACAATTTGAAAACAGTTGAAAGTGACAACTAGGATCACAACGGTTACTGATGCTTGACTCGGCCGAATGAGGGAAATGAGATACTCTTATAAACTAGTAGCCAATGAAATGAACAAACATCTAACTAAAACCAGAAGCAATAGATGGGCAGTTGTTAGTACATCTATTCCATCGGGAAAGCAACGCCAAAAGAAGTCTGGGCGAGGCCGGCCAGTTGCATCTTTTATTGCATCAGTGATCACACCGGTTATCAGAACAGCAAAAAGGAGCCCTGCAATCCAAATATGGTTAATTCAGTAGTCAGTAGAAAAATCTTACATCGGAATGCCCAGAAGCAGAATTCTGTATAGCTTACAAAAAGGAAAATCAAGTAAGATGGTGGAATATTGTTATATTTACAATCCCAAACAAAAAAAAAACAGCAAAAATGTGAACGATATTAGTACCTAGTATGCTGTTGTGCAGATCGTAAACATCTTTTCGACGACAGTAGAAGATGAGAAAGATGGCAATGGGCAGTAGTACTGCATACACCTGTTTCAAAAACAAGAAAAGAAAAATGTTTATGTTACTATGTAATGTTTAACAATCATTCTTCAGTAAATAAACAATCATCCACAGAAAAGAAAAAACCAGGCTTGCTAGCAAGAAAGCTGAGCATCTTAGTAGTTATATGTTTCGTGGACAGATCAATTACCGAAGATGCCAAACCAAATTGTCAGCAAAGTTATTTTAGTTTAACATAACTGTGTCAAACAATGCACAAGTCTTCCAAAAACCATGGGAACATAAGCACAAAAGGATTTCACAGAGACACTATGTTTCCTGGTATTCTGGTAAGATAACCAGAAGAGCAGAGTTGAAAAATGAGAGACTCACAGGAACAGCCCAAATTGGCACTGTGTTATCTTTCATGGGATACTTGAGATCCTCAAGCATACCCTCTCCAACAAAGCGGTAAAACGGGTGTATGATGTTTAAACCAATCTCCAGGAAAACAAGAAGCAGCAGAATGAGCCAATCGTGCAAGTGAACCCTTGCAACTGTAGCTCCATGAGATCTAATTGTATGTGTGCATCCAAGCTGAACCTCACCTCCTCGGCCCTGTTGATCAAGAACATTATGGTTTTCGATTTAGAATCTCAAATGCATGCAATAAAGAGATCAGCACCTAAACCAGAAAATAAACTTAATGATCAAATTGAACAAATCTGTTTGAATTGAACGAGCTGACTACAATTGGACATTTGTTTAAATTTGCACCACCCATTAATATTAATTGTAAAAAGAGTAATCATAATCAATTACAAAATCAAGCATGGATTATAAACTCGCCCTACTTCCAGATTTGAACCGCAAAGCATGATTCAATTTTCATGAATACATTCCAATTACAAATTCCACAAACGGTAGTCGTACTCCTTATCATTTACACCACGTAAACCCAACTAACCGAGTAGACATCAAAGTAATTTCCACAGATTCTAAGAATCATCAAAACATGACATAAGCTAAGCCTTTTCATACGAGGACTAAAAGATCCATTAAAAAACATAAAGGGAGATAGAAAAGCCTAAAAGACAAACGTACCTGAAACAAACTACCGAACGAACAGCAACTTCTCCAAGCCATGACAAATACAGAAGTCCAAATCTCAGAAAATCCTTCCGATAACGTTCACAAACCCCCCACCCCAGAAAATTGACCACAGACACTCCAAAATTTTGTAGGAAGAAAAAAAACAATTACTAAGAAAAAATTACTTCTCACTTCAGATATGTTCAAGAACTGAGATCCTATTCCCCTATTCCCAATTTTGAAACAGGTGAAAGAAAGGGTGAAGAAGAACAATAATTGAAATTTAAAGCGTAGGAGATATTTTGAGGAAGTTGATCAATCACTTGGGAAAATGGGTCCACCGGGAAACCAGAATTTCTACCACTAATGTGTCAATCAACTAGTTTCCTAATTGTAATTATCAGTTACAGAACTCTAAATCGAAACTGTTCTTAAACCAAACCGAGTTTCCCAGTAAACCAAAAAAAAAGAAAAGAAATGAGACGAAAAAAATCGAAGAAATTCAAAAGGAGACGAATTAGCGGGTTGGTGGGATTGAAAGATTTATAAATGAAGATTCATCCATTGGGGTGATGTCAAGAAGATTCAAAGTCAAAATGATCTGGGCCGTTGTGGATTTTGTATTTTTGTACAACACGGTTTTGATTGGGATGAAGGCCATATGGCTGAGGCTGGTTCTTATTGTTATTTTTGTCGCGAAAAAGAGATTTTTAGTTAGAAAAGAGTACTCCAACCGTCACCACTTGGAAACTGAGCGGAAACGACTTTCACCGCGAAATTTGGATTACGAATATATATTTACGAGTATCGAATCGTGGCAAGTATTTCGGGCTACACAAAATGCAAACAAAAAGAAAGAGTCCTTTTTCAACAAGAAAACCGATATCACTGTTAATTTTGCTGTAATAAAGTAACCAATACAGAGTGATAATAATCAATCTGAAGATAGAACCATAATGTAAAATTTGGCATATTAATGCGTAGGGTAGTAATACGCATAGGGAAAAAATGACAAAGAAAACTTACAAGAAATGATGTGTCAAACATTCTAAAGTAGACCTTAATCGTAAATGGTTAAACCATGTATGGAAAGAGTTTAAAATGTATGGGTTAAATTATTTTTTTGTCATTTTTCCTTGTAATTCTTTCTTATACCTATCATTATTCTAATGCGTAATGTATTTGAAAACCATGGCATTACAATACTGGCCAATATTTTTGTAGTTTGAATTTTCAGTGAACTTGTTTGAAATAATATGTGCCTGCTCATCACGTTTTGTGTATATATCTGAAAACAAAAAAATAAAATAAAAAGTATGGCATACTAATGAGCAAATCCCCCTCTCTCTGGCTCTCTCGTAATAATGAGTGAAGTGAAATGCAAGTTAATTTATGTATCATGGTACTATGATAAAATATTTATTAAAAAAAAAGTTGAATATTGGTCAATCAATTAGTAATTTATTATACTATATATTTTGGAAAAAAAAATATTTAATAGGGTTTTTCTCTTTTTTGTGAGAAAGGAATAAAACAATAAAACCCAGCGCATGAACTGATGCATATAATGCGATCTAAAAAGTGGGAATTTCAGGGAGAAAAAAAAAAAGGAGTATTGGGGCTAATGCTTGCTTGGTTTTCACGGACACGCAAATAAATAATTACGAAGAAATTATAATCATGATTGTTACGCCGTACTACCTTTTTTCCTTGTAATTTGGTAACATGGTGAGGTAATCATAAACTTGATAATGATATCTACTATTTCCGTCTTAAAAGTGATTATTATATACTATCAACATAAAACCATAATTTCATATTCGTTTTGTCTCGATATTATTATTTAGTTTGGATTTTCAGTTTTAGTATAAATTGAACTAAAAATGAAATTATAAAGTAAAACAATAATTTCAGAATGGAAGACGTAGTTGAAATTGAGGGAATACGTACTATCCGATTTTGAGTAGTAAAAATTTGTCGAGACGCCATTTTGATCTCCATCGACTCTCAAAAGAAACACGTCGATCTCTTATATGAAAATGCCGAATGAATGCGGGGGTTTACAGGTTTGAATAAACAAACAAGTATAAACAAACAAGTACACCATAAACTACAATTTTCAGTCAGAAATTAATCCCCGTTTATAAAAGTGGGAAAAATAAATTTGGACAACTTTGCATTAATTGGCATAAATACTATCGAAAGGTCAGAATTCTACGCCTGAAAGGAAGTGTTATTTCTAAGAAAAATCGACAAACTTGGGCAGCTTATTAATTTCCTTGGAAGGATGGAAACAGAAAACGGTTTTAACTGAGGTAGTATCGTTCTCAAGGTGGAATAATGGGGAGTAGTATTCGCCTGGTGCGTGTACAGTTTTTCCCCGGAGTCCACGCGGCATACATGTTTCTGTTTAATTTCTTAATATATGGTGCGTGTTTTTTTCAAAAAAAAAATAATAATAACGCGGCATATATTATGCATCTATTCAAATGGCCAAGTGGTTATATTGATACTCACGAACTTGTTTTATAGAGTAAAAAGAAAATGCATCTTTTTACTAATTAATCATCACGGACATACGTATGATATGTAATCACGTATCTGCTTTGTCCTGAAATGATTGGCATGTTTTAATGTCGGATTTTTTTCTTATAGAGTGGTCTGAAATTTTGATCGAAACAAACTTTTTTTTCTGTATTTTCACCTATGTAAAAAAAAAAAAAGAAAAATGGGTTATTTCTCCTCTGCATTTGCAAAATCCTAGTTTCGATCACTAACATATTTAGTGTATTAATAAGCAGGATAAATAGTTCAGAATAAAAATAAAAATGTGAGGAGACTTTTTACAAATTGCCCTTGTGGTTTGTATATTGCTGGCCATGATTTGGTCCATACTTCGGCATTAGGTACATGATTGATATATATTAGTTGTATTGTAGAGAATGTCACCATCTATAAATAGATATTCTATCTTAAATTTAAGCAATTTGGGTCTATCCTTTTCACACTATACGCAGCTATTGTATCTCGTAAGTGCAATAGGTTAATAATTGTATAGATTCATCACATTTAGAGTTTATTTATTCTTCCCGTCCTAAAAAATGTTATATTGTTTTAACTATAAAATAATGTTATAAAGTGATTTTTTAAAAAAGAGAGAATATTACTTTGAGCTAAATTTCAGTATTTTCAAAACACAAATGTTATATTCCCACTTAAGCAACCATCAAAACAAAACCTACCAGACATTTCCAACTTACTCGACAAGCACTGAGATACCATTATTAACAGTGAACGTAAGGAAAATAAATATGATCTAGCCGTATTAGAACTCTAAATTTAATGTGATTTTAAGATCATGGGATTTCTTTTTGGGAAATATACTTGTAGTAGTTACAAAAATAGGCTCAAAACTATTCATTTATTCGAATTCTCTTTTGGATTTCACTTTTTGTCAAACTTTTTTTTTTTTTTTATATTTGCAGGGTGTCCACCGTCGATAACAGTGACTTATCCTTGTCGCTGAATTGTAGGCACCTCAACTGTATAAATTCATCACATTTAGATTTTATTTATTCTTCCCGTCCTAAAAATGTTATATTGCTTTAACTATAAAATAATGTAATAAAGTTATTTTTAAAAAAAGAGAGAATATCATTTTGGGCTAAATTGTAGTATTTTCAAAACACAAAACTTATATTCCCACTTAAGTAACCTTCAAAACAAAACCTACCAGACATTTCCAGCTTACTCGATCGACAATGAGATGCCATTATTAACATTGAATGTAAGGAAAATAAATATGATCTAGCCTTATTAGTACTCTTTGGGAGGGAATGCTCAAAATGTGATTTTAAGATCATGGGATTTCTTTTTGGGAAATATACTTGTAGTGGTTGCAAAACTAGGCTCAAAACTATTCATTTCTTTGAACTCTCTATAGGATTTATTACTTTTTGTCAATTTTTTTTTTTTTTCATATTAGTAGGACTCAGATCGACACTGAAATGCCATTATTAACATTGAACGTAAGGAAAATAAATATGATCTGGCCGTATTAGAACTCTAAATTGGGAGGGAATGAACTCAATATGTGATTTTAAGATCATGGGATTTCTTTTTGGGAAATATACTTGTAGTGTTAAAATAGGCTCAAAACTATTCATTTCTTCGAACTCTCTTTAGGATTTATCACTTTTTGTCAATTTTATTTTTCATATTTATAGGGTGTCCTTCGAACTCTCTCTAGGATTTATCACTTTTTGTCAAAATTTTTTTTTTTTTTTTTGCATATTTACAGGATATCCTTCGAACTCTCTTTTAGATTTATCACTTTTTGTCAAACTTTTTTTTATATATATTTGCAAAGTGTCCGCCGTCGGCAACAGTGACTAATCCTTCTCGTTGAATTGTAGGCACCTCAATGGGTGGAACAACTGGTCAAAATATTTAAGATTGCTCCATATCCATAGCGAGGTACGAACCCTCAACCTAGGGTTAAGGGTCCACTCCACCATAACCACTTCGGTTACTTTTTGTCAAACTTTGAAATTTGACTTTTAGGACTAGAAAAGATATACTCCCTCTGTTCTAAAATTATTGTCCAGTTTGAGATTTAACTTTTAGTATAATTTAATCAAAAAATAAAAACTTAAACTGGATAATAATTATGGGACGGAGGGAGTATGACCTTTGAAATCTCACTTCCAAGTGTAAATAACATGTCCATGTAATGTGTGGTAGTGCTACTGTTATCCAATACAAGTCGAATTATTCAGCCCATTAACAAGTAGTATATCTCGTACCCTCAACTAGCCCATTCGGCCGAGATTCGTAGCATCTGCCATCATTCATTTGGCCCATAAAAGAATCTCTTCCTTTCGCCAAACCTATTTAATTCAATTCAAGAATGTAACTTGAAAGTTCTCTCCACGTGGAAGATTATATTTGGTTTGTGAGTTCATTTTACCACATG